TTGATTGTAGCCGATCATGGCAACCAATTCGATTGCAAGAAGTTCATAGAGTTCTGCGACGATAAGGAAGTCATTATGAGCTTCTTGTTTGTAGCATATCCTCAAGCCAACAGGCAGGCGGAGGCAGCAAAACAAGAGCATCTTGCACGACCTTCATAGGAGATTGCTAGGAGCCAATGGAAAATGGGTTGAGGAACTCCCTGGCGTGTTGTGGGCGCATCGAACGACGTACAAGGTCGCGACAGGAGAGACTCCATTTTTCCTCACCTATGGTAGCAAAGCAGTCATTCTGGTAAAAGTAAGCATCCCCACCTTCAGGATGTTGAACTATGAGTTGCAGACCAACGGGGAGGAGCATTTGCAAGACTTCGACATGCTGGAGAAGCGCAGAGACATTGCTTCAGTGCGCCTCGAATCTATGAAAGGCAGGTGGTCAGATATTACAACAATAAGATGCGTCCCCACCAAATAAGACAAGGAAGCATGCTATTACGACGAGACTTTCGCCCGAAGGCAAGTGACGGGAAGCTCGCACCAAAGTGGGAGGGACCTTACTGTGTTCGAGAGGTGGTGGGACCAGCCACTTTCAAGCTGGAGCGTGTTGGGGGCAGAGCTATAAAGCGTACATGGAATTCTCAGAACCTCAAGGTATACAACGACCATGTGCCGGTAGAAACTTCAAAGTAAGGCGATGTTAGGTCCGCAGGATCAGGCGCGTCCATTTTGGTTGGTGCTTAGCGAGAGGAGCACCAAACTCTCTTTGTTTGGCTTTGTTACAAGCATGTAGGCTTAAATACTAGTATGAAAAGCGCCATGCATTGTTCACCCTATTATTGTGATCAGTTAGGAACCTGTAAAGCGCCCTAATCCTTGCGCCCACCACTTTGATTAGTAAGCAATTGTAAAGCGCCTTTATCCTAGCGCCCTTATCTATCATTTCGAGGAATGCAATCATTTTGCACAATTTGGGGGAAACAAAAATGCTAGTATGAAAAGCGTCATGCATTGTGCGCCCTATTATTGTGATCTGTTAGGAACCCGTAAATCGCCCTAATCCTTGTGTCCGCCACTTTGATTAGTAAGCAATTGTAAAGCGCATTTATCCTAGCGTTCTTATCTATAATTTTGAGGAATGCAATCATTTTGCACAAAAGGGGGGAAACATAAATGTCTTGGGGCGGATGGTAAGACAACCTAGTTGGTAAAAGGGCTGGTTTCGAGTTTGGGATGTGACAAGGTCCCAGGTTCGAATCCCAGTACCACCTTCTTGGTGTTCCCGGAGGCACCCTTGGTACAGGAGACGAAGTCTCCCCGATAACGGTAGCACAACGTCAGGCACTGCACCGGGACAAAGTCCTTGATGGTTAGTATGCAGGTACCCCCTGGTTTAGTAGGCCCCGCTGTCACTCATGTGGCATGTGGGTTGCTGATGTTCCTGGGTTATCAAATAAATGTCTTGGGGTTTTCTTGGGTGGTAGTTTGAACTGCACGGGAAAGACTCTGGTCGTGCATGAACGTTTAGATAGTAATTGCAACGCGCCCTTAACCTTGCGCCCAATTACTGGTAACGTAAAGCGCCTTGAACACCTTGCGCCCGACAGTTGATCTAGTAAAGCGCCCCGAACTATTGCGCCCACGTGAGTTGAGAAACGAGAGAGGGAAGAACATAACTTGCAACACTTATAATATATGAAGAGATAAGGTAAGCACCCAGAAACAAGATAGAGAACAAGTCATGGCAAAAAGAAGTAACTTTGAGACGTGCAAATGCAACGAAGAAACAAGCACCCCACTTTAAGTCTGCCTCACAACCAACAACATGCCTACATTATGACTAAGGGCATAATAATATGACAAAGCACAAATGACGATGTCGAGTTACTGGTTGTCGCCTTCCTCTTCACTTCGGACCTCGCCTTCGGGCGTCCCCTGTGGTCCTTGTCGAGCGCCCCTTGTGGATCTTCGACGAGCGCCTCATCTTCTGCAAGCGGCGGAACTTCCAACCCGACAAACGCCTCCAAATCGCTCGCCTTACGGCCACTATCCATAAAGTTCAAAATGTACTCGATAAAAGCCAATGAATTCCACTCGACTTCCGGCTGATCATTGTGGAACTTGAGCTACAAAATTTTCACCGTGTCGATAATGGTCTCTGCCACAAGATTCTTTCCCGCCTCTGATTTGTGGAAATTGGCCAGGTCCTTCGTAAGGCACTCCTTGGTAGTTGGTAGCACGCGAAGTCTTGCGACCTTTCTTGTAATGCTCCTTAGACTTCTTTAACTTCTTATTCTCCTCTGAAAGCTTGCGCGTCTTGTCGCGGAGGGAGTCTTTCTCTTGGTGGAGGAGGTCTCGTTCTTGAATCAGCTCCACTTGCCTCTCATGAGGCTCCTGTGCCACTTCTCAAATTATGTCTTCTCGATAGTGCCTTGCGTCTCAAACCACAACTGGCACTCCTGTTCCACCTTAGCCTTAATCTTCGTGCGCTCCGCCGCAAGGGCGTCGTTAAGCTTGGCAGCCCACACTTCAACCTCATCTTGCGCCTTGTCACGAGCGGCGGACAATTCCATCTGCTTCTTTTGTGCAGCGTGAGCTCTGCCTTGAGGCGCGCAGTATCCGAGATGACCTGGACATTTTCCTTCGTGAGTTGATCAAACTCTCAAGCGGTAGACTCGATCAGCAACACGCCTTTGTAAAATTAGACAGTTGGAACTCTTTGTCATGGTAAAAAAAATGCCAGAAAATTCTAAAGGAGTGTTGGATGTTGTGTTGGCGACACTGATAGCAAAAAAGAATGGTGTAGAGGATAATGGTATGGGAGAGGTGCCTGAGAGGGAATTGACACAGATGCAACACGCCTTCTAAGGTGGGATCAACAGGAAACGGAGCCTGAAGCGGAAAAATTCCTGGTAAATCCCTAGCCAACGCTCTCCACATACACCAATCTGCGCAGCAAAAGGCGCATGGGCATAATGCCATGCCGCAGGCATTGGGCGACCCTTATTAGTTCTCCAGGCGCACAAGTAGCTGCGTGGAATGATGGGGCAGACCAGCCTCTTCCAGGGACATCCCGAAAATATGTTCCGGCATATAACCTGGCGGCCATATCTTCTCCCAGGTCCGGAGTACGTACTCGCTAGGTGCACCAGTGCTTGAGTTAGAAGAGGAGGAAGATGTCAACTCCAGGTTCAGTAGCCGAATCATCGACTCATCTAAGCTATCGCGTGTCAGGCTAGCACAAAGCGCGAGGGCATCATTAGGTAGCACTCGGCTAGCAATTGAGGGCGCACGGGGGGGGGGGGGGGGGGGTACTTAATGGCAAACGTAATATACAACTTACACAATTCTAGGTCATGTGCTCTAGGACAGGCGCATGGGGGAGCAAAACAGAGTTTTAAGAACGAGAAATGAGGTGAACCAACGACGGCGGGAGCGGCTTCTGAAGACGCAGGAGCTGAAGATGTTGGTTGTAGGGAAGACGACATGATGAGGCGCGCGGGCAAGAGACGCAGCGATGGAAAGGCAGCGAATTGCGTTGGGACAATCAGGGAGTGCTAGAGAGAGAAAGATGAGAGAGGGAGACTTTTTGTGATGAATGAGGAAGTGAGGATGGATGGGCCAATATATAGGGAGTGGGGGATGAGAGAGAAGAGGCGGAAAGCGGGGAAGTAACCGCTTTAATTTGAAATTTGAAATTTGAATTTCGAACCAAAAACTGGGGGCACGAGGAAGCCCAACAGTCACACGTCAGCTTGATGAGGACGGAAGCCCAATTGTTAAATCAGGCCCCAATTTCGAGGGTAATAATTGCATGGAGGAAAAATCTAATGATCACATCAAGTTTGTGGCGGTTGACGCTAGGCGGATGAAGGCCCCGCAGAACTCTTTGGAATTCTGAGAAGTTTAGAAAGAATGGTGAGGCATTCAAACTTGAAGAGAGAAACAAAAAAAAGTGAGGCTCAAGTAAAACAAAATAGTAATGAACCTATTCAAGGAATTATACCGTCAAAATTATAACACCATAAACAAATACAAATGATATAAACCCACAGTCTAAAAATCAAGGTTGCCAACCCAGTTTATACTATTACATTCGGTTTAGCAAGTGGAATGTTCGAGCTGTGGTACAAACGCTTTGTGTCGGTTCATGCCGGTTTAATAAAATATGTAAATGTGAAAAATCATTAACATCAAATGAATCTCAATATATTATACATATTTGAGGACAATTTACTTACAACCCATGTTCATATTTAAATAAAATATGATATTACAAATGAAATAATAAATACTCATACTAAATACGACAATTAACGGTAATACCTACATATCTATACAATCCAACAAATAATATGAAATTATAAATTCATAAAATAATAATAAAATAGTATTTATTAATTAAATTTGTTAAACGATGTCATTTTACTTAGAATTGATAAATCGATAATGTCGATAATACCAATAGTTGTCATACTCGTTTCATGACCGACAACGATTCAACCATCCAGCATACCGTACCAGGTGACAACCATGCTAAGAACTTCTAAATAAACCAGATACTCGACAATATTATTAATTACATTTCTAATATGTCCATATTAGAAATGCCTACATTTACCCAAGGACGGTCTAGCAGAAAAAGCCACAAAAAACGATGCGCACATTGGATAGATGAAGGAAATCATTAGTCATGCAAAATATTTACAGGGGTTCAAATTTGTACAAAACTACAAATATTATATACCCCAAAAAACTTATATAAACTACTCACAAACTGCCGTCAATAGTTTAATAAGATAATACAAAAGGTAGGTACTAGAGTTGCCCGCTGTTCCCTTGTATCCCCTCCCTCTAATCAACAGCATGGTTTCTTCCCCATACAGTGTACCTCCATTATGAACAACAATAGCACAGGCAGCTTTTCACAGCTATGATTCAGTAGCAAACCTGGAAGGAAACCCATGAACCAGGTTTCCAGATAGATACGTATATGTACAGAGGTTTTAACTCTCGTCAAGGGCAATATCAGCAGGATCCCCAATCCATGGCCTCCCTTCTCTCCATTGGAACTTAATTCTCAACTTGCCATTTGCATCAACTCCAACCACCTGGCCTTTACTTGCATGAGTCTCCATTCCCCATCCCCACCTAGGGCTGACCAGTCCATCTCGGATCCTAACCTTGTCCCCTATCTTGAATGCTCTAATTCTTTCCATTTCCCATGCCTTGCATAGCCATAGCCTCTCCACGAAGCAAAATGCAACCCATAGCTCCCCATCATCCATCCGATGCACCACTCCTATGCTTGAATGATTCACCTCCCCCCACTGGTGACTTGGGGTTGAAACCGATTTCTTAACCTTAACCCAGTCCCCAATTTGAAGTTCCTCCTCCTCGACCTGTTCCACTTCTGAAGGATCAAGCATCCAAGTCTTTAAACCCGCTGGCGTATATATTCTCAACTTCCCATCAGCATCAATAGCTGCTATTGTTCCAATACTTCCATGATTATGGCCTGACCAGCCAAATCTGGGCTGTTTAACAGAGAGTTTGACCCTAACTTTCTGGCCAACTACCAGTCTCTGCACTCTTTCCAGATGAGAACTAGGGCCCACCCATTTTTCTTGTTCACCGCAAAACCCGACATAAGTAGTTCCATCCCATTTATCCCCGCCGTCGTAACCTATACCCTGGACAATACCAACACATCCTGGGGCAATGGACTTCCAAATGCTTCCATCTTCCTTCAATCTCACCCATTCACCCACTTCAAACAGTTGCTCAGTCTCCAGATCTGCAGGATCACCTCTCCATAGACCTGATAGCCCAAAGAAAGCAACCATAACTTCTCCATCAGCATGAACACTGGTTAATATGCCTCGTGAATCAGGCTGAGCACCTCTCCAACCCCACCTTGGTTCGACCAGTCCAGTTCGGAACCGAACATTCTGCCCTACTTTGAAACTTGGAACCTTTTCAACATCTGTGTAGTGAGTACTCCACCTTCCTTTTCGGAAACAGCAAGCTAGATCCAGATAGCCGTTCTCCTGCACACTATGCACCACAGCTAAACTTTCCTTCCCGATAGTATTCCAATCGTAACTTGGTCTTGTCCCTAGGCTTGGTTTGGACCGTACCCAGTCACCAACTTCAAATCCCGAGAGTCGTTCTGCATCTCCAGGAGACATTTTCCATAAACCTCGTCTGCCAGCAACTCTTACCTACAAAAAGATTGGAAAAGGGACAAATTATTTTGAGAACTAGAATCCCTAGCAATCGAAAAGCACAAGTTCTGTTTTATAATGTGGTTGCCACCAAGTTGACAAATCCTGTAATTATCAGGGAATGATGACTAAAGGGAGCATACGTTCAAAGTTCCATCCATGTCAATTCTTGCAATTTTGCCAACAGTTGCAGGATTTTCGTTTGACCACCCAAGTCGTGGCTGAGCAACAGATGGCATCACCCGTACTTCTTGTCCTAGCTCAAAGGGAGGGACCTTCTCCACATCTGTCACAGAGCAAGAGAAGGGCTTGCTTCTGAAACAGAAAGCAACACCAATGTTGCCATCATCTTCTAAACTGTGAATCACACCAATGCTGTTCCGTGAAACATCCTCCCATCCATATATCGGAGCAGAAACTGAAGCCTTCACCCTGACCCAATCTCCAACCTGTTCATAGAGAAAAAGATCAGAAAGAGAAAAAGGACTAAGAATCACTACATGGGAAATAGTTGGCAATACATCACCTTGAAATCCTCAACTTTTTCCATGTCCGATGGATCAGCTTGCCAGGGTATAGGTCGATTTGGTATTTCAATTACTAATAGACCATCATTTTCTATCTCACTAATCCTTCCCACACTGTGATGAGTCTCACCACCCCAAGCATATCTAGGTTCAGCAACAGAACGCTTCACACATACCCGGTCACCAATCTGCAATGCAAAAAGTCATAGAGCTCTTGGTTTTCTGGTAACTAAATCATTTCACAAGAACTATGAAAGAATAATAGGGAGGAAAAAACACAAATTTTCTTGACATACCCTGAAAGGAGAAACAGCTTCGACTTCCTCTGGTTCACAATGCCATGGCTGTGGAAGATAACTCAGCTCCAGATAAAGACTACCATCCGGTCTAATGCAATAGACAATGCCAATGCTTCCTGGCGTTACTGATCCTAAACCATGCTTGGCTGTTGTTAGTGAGGGGCGAATACGAACCCAGTCACCAACCTTGAATTCTTCAACCCTTTCCATCTCAGCAGGGTCAGCTTTCCAGCCTCGAGATGCTCCCGGGAATCCAACCCGCAGAATCCCATCATCATCAACACAAAGTACAGTTCCAATGCTGTCACGTAACTGACCACGCCATCCAAATCTGATAAACATACGAGTTAAGTTGCCAAATCTAAGTTCAGAATTTCACAGAGATAAACATAATTGATTTCATAGCAAACGTGCATGTTGAAACATCAGGCTATTTCGTAAGCAACATTTACTTGCTAAAAAAGAATTTCAATGCTTCACAACCATATGAAATCATCTGAAACTTCAACCCACCGATCAGATAATGCTTATCCCACTTTCAGACATAAGCTGAACAAAGGATGTTAATAGCTTCTTTTGACTTATTCCGCACCATATTAAGCCCAGACCACTTTTTCTCATGCATTACCAAGTCCCATTCAGTTGTAAACAGTACAAGAACTCATATCAAGGCAATGCCGCTAAGGCATTTCCATACAAGCACACTGCAAGATCACTTCCAAAGCAAGTGGCACAAGAATACCCAGCTATATCTCAGACATATAGTCCCTATACATATATACATGTTCTTTACATACAGGCAAACTAAATTATCAATGCTAAGAGTATCCATGAAGAAGACCAAAATAGATACAAGCAAGAATATTTCGATGTCCATGTCCATATATTCATGATAACCATCTGTAACTTGCCCACAGTGAAGCAGATCGAAAAAAGAAGCCAAATGAGGACCAAGACATCACCACCCTTAATTAATTGTATGAGATCTATAGCCCTATACCAAGTCAATTGAAAAAAGTCAAACCAGAAGAGTAGATGAGATAAATATCTCAAACTCTTTAGCTATAGTCCTGGAACATAATGCCATGCTAACGAACACCCGGGTTAAAAGAATATATTAAGCCAGAGAGTGAGTTGAGGTAGAAGAGAAAAACCTTGGCTCTTTGACATCTGTTTTCAGCTTGACATGCTGACCACGGTCCAGAGGTATAACCTTCCACACTTCACTTGCTAATACATGAGACTCCCCTGTGCAGAATGAAACAACAAGATTTTCCTTGTCTACAACTGTCTGAACAAACCCCACACTCTTGTGTTTTGCGCCTTGCCACCCATTTGCAGGAGTAGTCAAACTTCTTTTAAACTTCACCCAATCTCCCACTTCAAATCTGCATGTAATCAAAGTTATAAATAAATGTTTCTTAAATATGCTATTGCCTCCGCCAAAATAAAATGCAAAATGCAAGCATCTTCCAATTTGAAGATAAAGGATCGAAAAATATTCCACTTACATTGTAGGAGACAAATATACTCCCCTCACCAGAAGTGCCTCCATCAGGTCTTCAGAAATCCATTCCCGCGGTAAGGTTTCCAAATAATCTCTTAATGTCTTGCCACTGTCGTCAAAATGTACATAAAGAACATCAGCAGCAGATATCAGTCATTCTTGTTCCTATCAATTCTTGATATTTAAGGCAAGAAACCCCCCACACTATCGGTTGAAGGTAACTAGCCTGTGGTTTCTAGCTTCAACGGCTGCATCAAGATTCCTGAGCATTATAATTAGCCATTCAAGATTTTCACGAATCATTTTTGCAGCATCAGCAGCAATATGGAAAGCGTTGTCACCTTCATCATCCTGCCACAGACAGCATAGGAAATGCAAGTTACAACAAATAAAGCAAGAAAAGAGCAGCACATGGCATACAAAATAATGAACATCATAACAAAAATAGTTCCTGCTGACAATATACTAATTATGTGGTGAGCTGCAAGCATTAATTACCTCCATTGTTATGGTTGCAATTTCAATAAGTGACCGAAAAAAGACAAATAACGCTATGCTACCAGCAAAAGAAACTACCACATATCCTCAAGCTAGACAGATTCATAACATCATAAGAATCTGGAAATCAGGTGTGAAACCACAAAACCTGAATGTTGCAATTTGCCCCAGCATTTAAGAGTATTCCGACACATGATTTTGCTCCTCTGGCCAGAGCTACATGGAGAGGTATAGTGTTATGCATGTTCCTGATGTTCACATCAACTCCAGCATCCAGAATTATCTATTTAACAAATAACAGAACACTTAAGTCCACATTATAAGTGAACTACAATAAGTTAAATAAGTCTTTGAAGATGCAGATTTTCATTTTGAAAACAAATGCTTCCGTCAGATGCACAATGCATACAAAGAGATCGTTAAACTTTCATCTCAGATACCACGGTATTCATATAGCTCACCTTTACCAACTCAACATTGTTAGCCATAGCAGCTGTGTGCAAGGCTGTTCGCCCATGAGGTGCATCTTGAGTAGTTGGGTCTGCTCCAGCCGCAAGCAAAATTTGCACTAGTTGTCTCCCTTCTACATAATTCAAACATGAATCACATAGAAGAAGTATACCACGAGAAGCCAGATGGAATAATTGACAAAATATGGTAAATGTGAAATGGACATGAGCAATGAGCAGGGTCTAAAGAGAAAAGATGCTACTAAAGTAACAAAGACAAAAGTACATAGAAAAGGTACACCCAGATTTCTAGTGCATAAGCAACATGATTGTTAATTGTAAATAGTTATAATGAATTTGTAATTTCCTAGCAAATGGTTTGTAACCTTGCTATCAAACATGGATAAAGTGTCCATTTGTAAACCTTATAAATCATTTTATTAGGATTACAGACTCATTATTAATAGTTCATAAACAGCAATGGTGTCTTGTATGCACTTGAAACCTTAAATGAACATTCACCAAGGAAAAACAACCTTAAATGCAATTTGAGTTAATGCTCTGCCAAAATCGTTCACTAACCCATATCATCAATGGGGAACTACGACAATAAGGCAGGGATACTCTTGCATGGGCAAAAAAGTAAATAGAAAAACATTATTAAGTTAATCAAGAGAGAGACTACATAAGTGAAATGCCAATCCTCCTTGCTCCCAAAGCAGCTAAAACAGTAGTAAGTTGTCCCTAGGCCAGATACTAAGACATCAGAAGTAAGACCTAAACAAGCAACGTTATCCTCCTACGTCCTTCCAAAAATCCAACGACAATGTTTGGTAACTAGGAGGTTACACTTGTCATAAACATTAAAAAAATTATTTTTATGTCCAAACCTAAGAGAGCAGTGACTAACTATCAATGACTTATAAATAAGTAAAAGACCTAATGACATTAACAGCAGAAACCCATCCAATGAGCGAATATCAGTCCAGGCACCAGTATCATCATATTAACTGCAGTTTGATTCGCTAAATAGAACTTCCAAAAATAAACTCTGATGAATAATAGTAATCAGACTTCCAGGTTCTTCTGTTACCAATTTCATGATCTTTCTTGGAACTTGCAGCCATACACAGAGCAGTTCCAACTGGGCTTGGTATATCAACAGCCTCAGCAATTTCTTCAGGGGAGGCAACTTCCACCCACTTTCTGACAACAGTGACATTCCATGTTGCAACACTCAAGTGCAATGGCCTGAGGTCAAATATAATATATAGAGTTGAGAATGCTAAAGAGCAAAGAACAAAAATGACGAAGAAAAAGCAAACAAATAGATTCAAACGCCAGGTTATAGGATACACTAAGCACCAACATGAGAAATCTTGCATATTACAGGTAAGTTGAGTTCCTTAGGTGTCGCTAAAGGAAATAGTGATCCCCTAAGCAACGTTCAAACAATTATATTTCCAGCATTAGCATCAGATAGACTAACATCAGATTTTTTCACATCTCGGATACTTATCCTCGGTGACTAACATCAGACAGACCACCACAAGCACTAGTGCCAGATAATAGATGGCATCGGGTATCTGTTCCTGGAGCTAGGTAACTCCCAAATAAAAGGCATGAGCTCCCACAATTTACAAGACCCTGACATGCAAACTTTCATCGAGTTCGCAACGTACTAGTGGAAGAAAGGAAACCCTTAAGATAATAATCAAGGAAGAAAGAAGGCATTCAAACTTACGTCAAATTTTTTGAGTTTACAAAAGCCATTGATCCACTGCCACCATGTTCCAGTATAACAATGGCACAATCAGTATATCTCTTAGCAAGGGCTCTATGTAGAACAGATTCACCTTCATCGTCCACTGCATTAGGATCAGCTCCAGCAAGTAACAGCTCCTATCATTTACACCAGAATAGTTTCATCAAATACGAAGCAAGCAAAACGCCTTCACCATGCAAAACTGGTCGATAAAGAACCTACACGCATGCAATCAGGTTGGCCATGGTAGGCACAAACATGAGCGACAGATGGACCAAAACCTTCCCTTAATCGGGATCTGACATTAGCGCCTCTCCCAATTAGAGCATGCACACATCCTGGGGATCCAGCAGCTAAAGCAAATACAAGGGGTGGGTCACCATCCTTGTCCAGGATATCAACATTTGCCTCACGGTACTCCAGTATGGCCCGAACAAGGTCTGCACTACCACGCCTACAAGCCAGGTGAAGTGCTGTTTGACCATCAGCATTCTGTGCTTCTAGAAGTCTGTATACTGAATCACCACTATTTCCTGAAGCAGCCTTTGCTAGTAGATCTCTGGACCAGAGGAAAGCAGGGAGAGCAAATAAGCACCAATGAAAAAGTGAAGAATATACCATAGAGAACAAGAAAATGATAACTGGATAACACAAACCATGCTTCTCAACATTAAATCAAACATAAGTCAGTGCACAAGTAAAACAAACCTAACACCAATGACATTCCCTTCACCCACGAGCTGATGTAGATGGCTTGGATTGTCTGGTAAAACATCCAAGTCGGATGGTGGGGATGGTTCAGTTACATTCGAGCCATGGGTTTGTAGATAATTACTGCAACGTCAGAGAGGCATGATTCAATAGTCAGATCAGATCTCTCTTCACTATAGAAGGTACATAATGGGAACTACTCTTTACATGCATGGTCAGAAAACCAAACAAAGCACACATGATGGAATCTAAATTTTCACTGGATTTGAATCAAGATGTTCTCCAAAATAAGCATTAGACAGGAGTGTTCATTAATCTGAATTATTAACTTCTTACTTATCAGGACTTGCAGGAGGACTACGTGGCAACTCCTGCAGATGACGGAGGAATATTGCTAACATTGCATTAAAAGTTGGCCTCCTTGATGGTTTGAACTGTAAGCATTCACCGATCATTTTCCATAATTCTCTAGGAATTCCAACACCTACTACACTGGCATACTGAGGAGGCAGTTTTCGAGCTTTAACAACAGCCCTATAAATTTCCTCTGCACTCAGACCAGCCCACCTGCTCAAAGATTGTCCAACTTAGCATCAGGATTCATAGGAAAAAGAAATGGAGCGCCAAAAACAAGTAGGAAGAAAGAAATAGCAAATTCAAAAGAAAGGATTAGTTCACATACGGAACGGAACCAGTGCACATCTCTACTAATGTACAGCCAAAATTCCAGGCATCTGACTCAGCAGATATGCCAATTGCATCATCCCAGAAAAGATTCAGAGACTTCTTGACCGGCTCCCAAGCCTCTGGTGCCGTGTAGTGTGGGCTGAGCATTGTACAGTCCATGCAGGAATGGATTTTGGCAGAATCACATTCTCCTCTAGCTTTCCGGCAAGATGGTTTTTTTAAGATGGAAGCAAATCCATAATCGGAAACTACAGCGCGGCCACTTGGATCCAAAAGAAGATTGGATGGCTTTAAATTCATGCACACAACACCTGCTGCGTGAAGTTCAGCAACCCCACGTGCAACGTCTGCTCCATATCTACAATTGGCGAACGATAGATACATCAAAACAATCGCAACACCCTCACACTACAACAAGAAACCTTTTCCATAACTCAATAGAACACTGAACTATTAAAATCACATCCTGTTGGTTTTAAAAATAATTAATATATTATCTTGTTGCTATAGAGTAGATACTATTCATAGATCAAGTAATTCAATCTTAGATTGTTCGTGACCAACTTGGGATATATAAAGAAAAGATCCAAAGCTTCTCTTGAAATTCAGTGATCTCAACAAATATCCCATGTTTTGTATACCATTCGTCATTTTATCTGTATTAATAATAAATTGTCAGAGCTTAACAGCACTAATGTCCACAATTGCCACCAACAACCCATGGTCTTTCACTAAGTTGAGACCATCACCCCCTTTTAAATTGTAAACCTTACCAAAAAGCCAACATAATTGCACCATATAGTGAAACACCTGAGTGTTATTTTTTAAACCCTAAGAACACAGCAGCCAGGAGGAAATTTCAGAGAATCCAGCCAATAACAAATTCAGATCACAAGCTTCCAATTCCCAAGTATTGCCACAATGACCTGTCCTAAACTAAATTTGACATAATAAGATTCTAATTATAGGTAATGTGTAGGCTTAAAAAGGGGATAAAGTTCATTCATGTGACATGCTGCTAATAGAGGATAACCCACTATTCATCAAACAACAAAAAAAGTTTCTCTTTAAGATACTTCACATAAAAGTTCCATGTACGCTTGCAAAGCTTTGAATATGCAGCTAGATTGCAAGTCCATATAACTAACACAGACCAATTTATTACACTGCAAACACCTTCTCCCAACAACCAGGAAGAAATTATTTAAATAAAACAATTCCTAGAAACTTTGATACACCCTCGCTCCCCAAAAAAAAAAAAAAACATGCACAGGTGCGAGTCTTCTTAGCCCAGAAAAAGTAGCTAATGTGTATTTTCAAAAGTACCAAATGCATAAAGATGAGTGCCATCAAGAACTATCAAAGCAAGGCATCAGTAAGGCATGAGTTTCACCTTCAACCCCCCCCCCCCCCCCCCCCCCCCCCCCCCAAAAAAAAAGAGAAATACTTAATTTCCACCATCGCACCATATATCAATTAAACCCAACTTATGGTAGAAGGATCCCACAAGCATATATTTGAAGGTTGCAACAATACTCTCGCAGAAAGGTACATAGTGAAAGATATTTTGCTTGCTCTACCAATTACCAATTGCCAGTAACTAACAAACATGCGCCAACCTTCCCATCGAAAGGTTTTCTAGCCGACAAATTTATCAATCTCTGCTAACGGACTATAACCAACGCACCACTCTAATGTTGTTGAATATTTCTTATCAATACCTCTGCACTCTTCTGAAATCTTGCATTAACACAGAATTAGCTAGAAACCTCATAATATCCCATCAGAGTACCTTGGTACAAAAAGTCCCCTAATTTCAGCATGTTTTATAAACTCAGACATGCCATTATAAGAAAATTAGCGTCCAAAATTTTACTCCTACCTAAGACATGAGGGAAGAGTACTCCAAATATCAAATAGCACGGTTCCTGGTGCCTAAGACCTCCAAGACTGCACATTAAAGCAATAGTGTGCCTTAAGATAATAACTGTTAGTATAATGGACCTTGTAACTATACTAGTTATATATCACTTCACGGAAAAGGGAACATATCTATACTCCGCATTAATCATTTATCATGAATAAGCAAAACAACCCCTCATGCTCCGGAACAAAGCTGAAAGCTAAAACTGTGCTCACTCACTAATCAAGTTATCGACATCATGTATTGTTCCAGTTCAGTAGCAAGAATCAACCTGGCCAGTAAAACAGCACTATAATCAAATGCCACTGAAGTTATGTAAGGAAAAATGGTTTAACAAGAAACCTTAGAATTTGTTCTAGAGTGAGCCTTCCTTCATTCTGCTGCATCTCGGACTGAACAGACCCGCAACATCTATCCATCACGATCCCTATACATCCATCCACTTTGACAACGCCATGGAAAGTACACACATTTCTGCACCACATTGAAGCTCGCCGCAAATTCTCCAGCTGAGCATGCACCCACTCCACCTCCACCCCTTCACCGACCTCCACCTTCTTCACCGCCACACGATGCTTACACTTTCCGGTACCGGCAAGGCCGCTACCGCCAATCACTGCCGCCCAAGTCTCCGCTCCAGCTCTCCGCCCCTCCCCAATCTTCTTTACCAACTTCACCTCCTGATGAACCCCGACTTCAATCAGCCTCCCGCAGGTACCGGAGCTGGAAGCATGAGAGCCTCGGCTGCATCTCTCCGCCTCATTTTCCTCTTCATTTCCTCCTTCATCCTCGTCGTCATCATCATCCGTGTAATCGCAGTCGAAATTGGGTGCCATGGCAGCTGAGGAAGGGGAGTGAAGAAGAGCAAGGACGGCGTAGTTCTTCCGCAAGGCGTGAACCGAGTTCCCAACCACGGAGACATGGCGGCAGCGAGGGCAGACGAGGGTTGTGTCTTGGGAAGCAGAGAACATTCTGGACAAGCATTCCTTGCAAAACCCATGGCCGCATTGAAGCAGCAGAGGAACCCTCTCTTCCTCATTGTAGCGGTTCTGGCACACTGAGCAGCAAGGGACTTTCATTTTCTCCCCCTTGCAGAAAGCAAAAGGGGAAGAAAAGGGTGAGATACTAATTTGTCAGTACAAAAGAGCAAGACTATCCACCCGTCCTCAGCTACTTTCAAGCCGATTGAATCGAGAAAGGGTAAAAAATTGATTCAGGATTAGGGGATTTCAAGGATCTTGAGGGAGAGGGGAAGGAGACGGCAGATCCATTGAAGGAAGAAAATCTGCTCAACGGGTTTCAGAGAAGTAGAGAGAGAGAAAGGAGGGGAAGAAAAAAAGTAAGTTACGGAGAGGGAGCTGAGGGTTATTCATAAGACCTTATGGTTTTATATTTATATTATACATACAGATGAGAAAACGAATGAAAGAAAAAGAGACATTTACCAAAAAAAATAGTTTTTTCTTAATAAAATGGACCCAAACAGCACCCTATTTTTCTGATTTACTATTGTATTGTTGAGAATGCATATATAATATTATACATGTATTGTCGAATTTGATGCATTGTAGAATACAATGTTTGGTATGTGTGATTGTGTATGTCGCATCAGCTAAAAGTTGAGACAAAACAATCTCAACTCAACTATCTCAACAATCACAACTAAAAGTTGAGATATAACAATCACTCAAAATGAATGATAGTTTCTGTCACATCATAGAAACAATCCATGTATTGTTTCTACTAAAAAAACCAAAAAAAAAAAACGATGCATTGTAAACAATACATGCATAATGACAATCTCAACAAAACAATCGCAACTTCCAAACGACCCTGAATAAATGTCATACAACCAAGGTTGTCAACCGTTCTACCGATCGGTTGATCCGCTTTGATCCTGACCCGATTACATAAACGGACAACACATACTTGTCGGGTCCACCATTGCAAGGTATCGAGTTGGAGGTAAAACTGCGTCATTTTTCCCTTTGGTTAGTGAAATGCATGCGTTTATTTTCTGGTTTTCCTTTTCGCCTAACTCAATATTTAGAAATCTAAATTAAACATTTGAATATTCATGTTATATAAGTGTGTGTGAATTTTAATTATATGTTGGATCCAAATACGACATGTTATTTTTGGTGTAATGGTGTATGTTAACATGTTATTACTCTTATTTTAGATGAGATCGTGATATAATTTATAAATATATGAATAATATAATATTTTTTTATATATTCGACCTAAATCGATCTAAGGTGATCGGATCATTAAACTCTCAATCCACTTGCTCGACCGAGCAACGAGCTTAATCGGGTTGATAACCTTGCATACAACTATATAGGGCTTAATAACATAACATAGAGAGTGCTCTCGTCATGAATTTTGGGCATACACCTACACGACATAAAAACCAAACGTAGATAGTGCTCTTGACTAAGTAATATGCACACTTGTTAGCCTCTTTGTAAATATGGGATACTTACGACCTCCCTGTCTTTGTCTACTAACTTCTGAAATCAATGAATGATACTTGAATGTTGGTGATCACTTGTATAGTGTTCTGCAGCAACTGAACCGTACATTATGAGTCAGCCTGCACTTGAACTCGCATGTGCCCAACACTCCAAGCTAACTCAATGCCCTCTATTCCGTCTTTCACGTTCGCCCGGATAATGGAGCACATACCCAAATTCATGACGAACGCTGCTAGACACTACAGTGTCCTATGTGATCTCGAATAATGGAGCACTACCCACATTCATGTATAAGTCTATCTTTATTGATGGTAGTCCTCACTACAGTTATCTAAGTCTGAACTCATTGTAAAAAGTTTTAAGTTGTTGTGATCTTGCATGTAGAGATTTGATCATTAATGGACTTCTAGAGTGACTGCCAAGTAATGCCAAACTCTAAGGTAATGTGTTGTTGTTGATACGCCCAAACTCCTCGTCACAAGCTTGGAGGGTGAAGATTTCGGAAAAAAAAAACCAGATGGTTCAATCGTGCAACTTCTCACCGGAATTTGGGAAAGAGGCTCGATTGATTGGAAGGTAGCAACTCGTCCACAATTGAGGTGGATACTCAACTGATGCAGAGCTTGCTTGCTCCATGGAATCAATCCGATCAACCAAGGACAGAATTCACGAGATCAACTCAATGAACCAAGAGTGTTTTCTCATAAAACTTGCTTCAATTACAAAGCAATCTTAACCTTAAATAGACCCTAGCTAGAGTACCGAACAAGGAAGGAAATCCTAAATCTATTACAACTTGACTTAAACCCCAAAAGAACTCAGCCGTACATGGAAAGGAAACCAAACGTGAACAAGCTATAACTCCCAATCCCACAAGGATTGCTAATTTCCAAAGTCAGAAACAGTGGCCTTGACACGATCTTTGGATGCTTCGTTCGAGTGCTTCTAGGACCCAAATCAATCAGCCAATTCCCCGTCGGTGTATTCTGAAATATGTAGTTTGATGTGGTAAACACCATTGATCCCAACTCGCAACCCTTTTGTCAGAATTATCCTCCAAAGTGGCTATGCTGAACACGGTTTTGGACTTGGACAGAATTGGGCAGTTTTCCTGCGTAGAGCTAGCCTTTTGTCGAGCGTGAAAATGGACCTTCCACGTTCCACCTTGAGCCACCAAACACTCCAACTGATAGAAGATGTCTTGATCTTCAAAACAAGCTCCCAAACTCACCATTCCATTGCCCCCAATCAAAAGAACCAAGTCCCCAAAGTACCCTATCTGAACTCGTCAAAAGACTTAACCAAAATTCCACATTGTTCAAATGAATTGGGTTACCTTCTTGAATAAGTAGTTCCAGCTTGGCAAGGAAGCAATCCAGGGTTGCATCAGGCCCTCCCTCTTCAAAAAGCTTTGTCCTCAAAGCTGATTCCTTCCGCCTCTCAAAACCTGCACAAAATTGATCCCAAATCGGGTCAAAAGTGGGCCTCTCGAACTGATGAATCTGGAAAATTAGATCAGTGTTCTTCAGGACATCAATTGGGGATTCTTAATTGAGGCCGCGCCAGTCTAATTCACTACCTCCACGAGCTTCGCTGGACCCACAATCGAACATCTGTACCCGTCCCATGCCTTGATTCGTCACCATCGCCGTGAATTCATCGATTTGTACTTTCCCGTCGTAGCTGGAATTTGATCTTCCGCGACCTAAAGAAGCCAATTCGATTTTGGGGGTTTTAATCCCAGGCATCTTCGAGTCGAATTGATGCACCCTACAACTTCCTGGCACCTCCATGGACGATTCTACATCAGCTGTTTTGGTCGAATAGACCTGGAACTCCCCAACCCATTCAGTTACCTTTTCTTCACTCGTGGGCATTTTCAGGGGAATTGGAGCTCGACGGGGGGCCTGAAAAACATAAGGAATTAGCTCGATTTGGTCAAGGGAAGAGCTTCCTTGACCCTCAGAGAGTGTGCCAACATCTTTGACAGTTCGAATTGCCCTGGTGAACTCCACCCAATTCACTCTCTCTCCTCCACTGCGCCGACAACGAATGACAGGGGCGACGACGGCGATACATCCTCTTTTTTTTTGTATCCGGTGAGCATAAAGCGTGGGGTGAGAAGGGAGCCTCCAAGGTGATCCTCGGAATTCGTCGTACTGGATTCCCCTTTCACTCGCCGTCGGCCAGCTTCGAGCTGCTCCTGATCCTCACGAACCTCCGCTGGAGTTAACGGCTTCAGTAAGAACCTTTTCCCGCCATGTCGAACCTCGTAACAATTCGTCCCCCGTAATGGCATACGCCTCTATCAAACTATCAAGGTCGACCGAGAAGAAGATGGGTAGCTTGCATAGGGGCAATGTCAAACAGCCTCTCATCCTTGTAATTGCCGAGTTCAAATTTGACGAGAGCTTGTCGCTGAACTTTTATTGCGCCGTAGTCGTTAAGCCAGTGCAAATTATATGGTGCTGGATGGAGACTTGTGTTTAGTCCCAAGTGCTTAACAACGTCCTAGCTAACAACGTTAGCGCAACTGCCGCCATCGACGATTACTGACAGCAGTTGACCCTCGACCAAACACCGCGATTGAAAGAGGTTCTCCCTTTGGTCTATCTCGGCTTGATGAGTCGCGGTGAGCGCCCTTCGGCTGACTGCAAACAACTTGCCTGGCAGTGGCGCAATTTCAGGTTGGATTTCCTCTTTGATTTCGTCTACTTTAGAGTCGATTGCCAGTTTTGCCGGAGTTTCCTCATCATCCTCAGAGTAGTACTCTCCGTCCCTGAGTACGAGAGTTTTCCGATTCGGGCATTGGTTTGCCTTGTGTCCACGCCCCAAGCATTTAAAACACTGAATCTGAGCACTGCAGCCTTCCATTTTAGCTGCGGATTGCGAATTGCCGTTTTCTCGGCTTCGGTTTGCATTGGTAACGAAGCAGAGTTGGGAATAGCCTCTGTATTGGTCTTGTTGGCAGGTGAATTCCGCCTTCCAGGAACGAGTTTGAGTTGTCTTTCAACCTTGACGGCCAAGTGAACAACCTCTTCTAACTCGATGAAAGCCCTTAGCTCAACTTCTTGTCGAAGCTCTCGGTTTAGACCATAGAGGAAACGCGCAATAGTTGCTTCGCGGTCTTCCCTAACGTCAGCCCTCATCATAAGCAGCTCAAACTCGCGGAAGTACTCTTCGACAGATCGTGACCCTTGGCGCAAACCCTGCAATGTTTCGTGCAATTCCCGCTGATCATAGCCGGGCACAAACCGTTCGCGCATAAGACCCCGCAATTCTCCCCACGTCATGATCTTAGGTTGCAAATTCCACCGTCGGCGGAGTCGGGTCTGCTCCCACCACTGTGCGGCGTAGTTGGTGAACTCGTATGTCACAAGGAGTACCTTTTGCGCCTCGCTATAGTTGCCGCACTGAAAAAACAACATCACCTTCCTTTCCCAGTCGAGAAAAGCAAAGGCGTTGTTGGAGCCAGAAAACGGAGGCAATTGCAGCTTAATCCCCCTCAGTTCAGCCAAATTGTTGCCTGGCCCTGTTTCTAGTTGTCGATCCCCATCATTGCCCTGATTTGGATTTGGATTGGCCACTAAAGCTTCGTCGGCGATATTCCTCAACGGAACAGGGGCATTTGTCGTCGTCCTGAGTTCCGTCAATTGCTGATTTAGGTTGTCAAGTTGCGTCTGAATCGTCGCGTTCTGTTGTGCCAACATTGTCCGAAGCAACTCCGCGATGTTTTCCTTTTCTGCCATGGCCGGATCGTCACCTGTCCCGACCCCTGCCACCGTTGCGGTTTTCTTCTTCTTCTTCTTCCCCTGTTCTGTAAACAGAACAGCAGTGGGATCACAATCCACTGGACCCTTCGACCTGGTCCACCTTGTTGTACCGGTGCCGCCTTCCATCGACGACGTCGTAGACGTAGCTGAGTAGAACTGGGCTCTGATTAACACTTGATACGCCCAAACTCCTCGTCACAAGCTTGGAGGGTGAAGATTTCGAAAACAGGAAAAAAACAGATGGTTCAAACGTGCAACTTCTCACCGGAATTTGGGAAAGAGGCTCGATTGATTGGAAGGTAGAAACTCGTCCACAATTGAGGTGGATACTCAAACTAATGCAGAGCTCGCTTGCTCGATGGAATAAATCAGATCAACCAAGGATAGAATTCATGAGATCAACTCAATGAACCAAAAGTGTTTTCTCATAAAACTTGCTTCAATTACAACGCAATCTTAACCTTAAATAGACCCTAGCTAGAGTACCGAACAAGGAAGGAAATCCTAAACCTATTACAACTTGACTTAAACCCCAAAAGAGCTCAACCGTACATGGAAAGGAAACCAAACGTGAACAAGCTATAACTCCCAATCCCACAAGGATTGCTAATTTCCAAAGTCAGAAACAGTGGCCTCGACACGATCTTTGGACACTTCGTTCGAGTGCTTCTAGAACCCAAATCAATCAGCCAATTCCCCATCGTTGTATTCTAAAATATGTGGTTTGATGTGGTAAACACCATTGATCCCAACTCGCAGCCCTTTTATCAGAATTATCCTTCAAAGTGGCTATGCTGAACACGGTTTTGGACTTGAACAGAATTGGGCAGTTTTCCTGCGTAGAACTGGCCTTTTGTCTAGCCTGAAAATGGTCCTTCTACGTTCCACCTTGAGCCACCAAACACTCCAACTGATAGGAGATGTCTTGAGCTTCAAAACAAGCTCCCAAACTCACCATTCCATTGCCCCAATCAGAAGAACCAAGTCCCCAAAGTACCCTATCTGAACTCATCAAAAGACTTAACCAAAATTCCACATTGTTCAAATGAATTAGGTTACTTTCTTGAACAAGTAGTTCCAGCTTGGCAAGGAAGCAATCCAGGGTTGCATCAGTTGTGGAAAGTGTTGATGCATCCAATCATGTAAAAATGCTCTAAAAAACAGTTGATGCTCAAAATATGGAATTATTCGCATCCAAGTTAACATGGCAAAAGTAGTCCCACAACACATGCATGACTAATTCTAGTTCATTGTTCTAGACTGTGCAAATTGCTCTTTGAGCTAGATGTCGACGTCGTTGTTCAAAGTTTGTGAGTAGTTTCTCGCGACCAACTGGCCAGAGAAAATGAGTGACTCACACCGGTCAATTATAGCTCCAAATGTCATGTCAGGGTTGTGTTGGTGTCGCTTCCTCCTGAATGCAAGCCAGCTCGTACGTCTCTTTCGAGCCCACAAATTGGTTGATCCTCCCCAGCCCCTCCCATAACACTTGGATATTGATTACATTCAAAATAAAATCATCAGGTAAGTAAAGTGACTACAAAGGGACATCGTACTCACCTTGATAAGTAGCAAAGTCTGCAAAAGATTGGTTGGTACAAAACTCGTCGCCTCCTTCAAGATATGGTCTAGAAGGATCACATTGCTATCGCTTCAACTATTCACCCAGCAATTTGTATGGAACATATCCTTCATGCACATATGCATACCCATCGTCATAATTGGCCAAGCCGATCGTATTCCCCTCCGAAGAATGGAAGCATGTGTTATGGACTTCGTGACTAGGATCTCACTCACGTACTTGAAATATTTGGACTAAAAGACTTGCACCCATGGTTTTTTAGATCTCTTTAAGAAAAACTAAGCAAGTTTTAAAAGGTAAGAGAATTGAGTTCATGTGTTTGTCATAACCCTAGTCTGCCTCCATATTCAACCTACAAATGTGCAGATCACGTGCAGATGTGGTGATCAATCTGGTCTTAGATGCATGATTCGGGCTCATATGTACACTTTTTACCCTCGGTTTCCTTAGTCGTTTGAGGCATTTTTACTCCGAGAGGTTTGATTTTATGCCGGGTTTTGCCTCATTTTGGTGTTTTTCAGACTATGGCAGCTGTAACCAAGAGGAGTCGAAAGTTAGACGAAAGGGCGAAAAATCATGTCAAATGGTGGAATGTGTCTTGGTGGCTCAAAAAACTGGCTCTCTCGATCACCTCGTGGGATGACATGCTCAACAAGTTTATGACTTGGTATTTGCCACCTTCAAAGACGGCGGAGTGGCGCAAGAAGATCACCCACTTTGAGCAAGAGAAAGATGAGACATTGAAGGATGCTTGGGAAAGGTACTCTGACTTCTTCCTCCAATTCCTACATCATGGATTCGAGGAGCAATTCCGGATTGAGACCTTCTATGGAGGTCTCCACCAAGACGACAAGATCCTCATTGACTCCTTATGTCAAAGGAAACTGATGAACATGACTCCACCCCAAGTGATCGAGTTGCTTGAAGACATGGCAAGTAAAGGGTATGATTGGGGTTTGATGAGAAGTGGAAAGAGAAGCACCACAAGAGGAGTGCAAAGTGTGGAGCAAGTCCCCCGCTTGAAACTAAGATTGATCGGTTGATTGATGCACTCCTAGAGGACAAGAAGCATGGGAAGAGGCTGGTAATGGCATGTGATTGGTGTTCAAGTACCAACCACGAGATTTCTGATTGTCAAATGATGAAGTAATCAAGCACCCCCAAGGAGCAAGTGAGTTTCATTGCCAATGCTAGAGGGAACAACCTCTATAGAAACACTTACAATCCGGGGTGGCGAAATCATCCCAATTTCTCTTGGTCTTCTCCTACCAACCCAAGATCCCCCAGTTTCCAAGGACCGGGGGGAAATTATCAACCAAGGCCTACTTTCATTCAACAAAGGCCGCAATTCCAAGGCTCTAACTTCCAACAACCGTTTCAATCTCAAGGTGGTCAAGGGTTCCAACAACCCGATAAGTTTGCAAAGCTTGAAGACCTTGTGACCACCTTCGTGAGCACGAGCACTCAAAAGTTTGAGAAGATTGAACAATTTATGGATGTGGCAACAACAAATTTTAGTTTGGTTGAGGCGAGATTGAGGAGCCATCAAGCAAGCCTTCAAAACTTGGAGGTGCAAATTGGTAATCTCGTCGGGATCCTCACCAAGAGACCAAGGGGAGCCCAACCCTCTCAAACTATTGTCAACCCCAAAGATCAAAATGCCGGTTGCAATGCTTTTCTTTTAAGGAGTGTGAAGGTTACCCCGGAGGTTGTTCCTAAGGAAATGAATGAAGAAGAGAGGACTCCTCCAACGGCCAATGATCATGAAGAAGTGGGAGAATCGGAAGAAGATCCTAAGAAGGCACTACCGACGCCACCACAAGTGGGTGAGTACAAGCCTCTTATTTCTTTCCCCACAAGGATGCACAAGGACCGATTGGAGGCGGAATGTGGTGGATTCATGGAGATGCTCAAGAAGCTCCACATCACCATTCCATTCTTGGAGGCCATGGTGCACATGCCTAGGTATGCCAAATACCTCAAGGGGCTTCTCGCCAAGAAGCCAAAAATGAAGACCTCGCCAATGTCACCTTAGGCGAGGAGTGCTCCGCCTTTATCCTCAACAAGTTGCCTAAAAAGCAACCGCATCCAAGTAGTTTTACTATACCTCTTTGCATTGGAAATCATCATATAGAAAACTCATTGGCAGACTTAGGAGCAAGCATTAATGTGATGCCTTACAAGATTTTTAGGAAGTTGAATTTGGATGAATTAAAGCCCACTAGACTTAGTGTCACATTGGTCGATCGTTCTTTCATTAGTCCTAGGGGTATTGTGGAGGATGTCCTAGTGAGATTTGTCAATTTCTTTTATCCGACTGATTTTGTTATCCTTGATATCAGTTAAGATGCAGAATATGGCACTCATACTAGGACGCCTCTTCCGTGCCACCGCCAAGGCCTTAATCGATGTTAATGAGGGAACTCTGGTTTTGAGAGATGAAGAGGAGCAACTCACTCTTTCAATTGATCCTAAGGTTAAGAATGTTGTTTTGAAAGAAATGGACTCGAGTGGTATGATAAGAAGTGGAGGTGAGCCTCTCTCGCACTGTCCTCACTCCCCCTAGATCCTACTTGAGCCTCCAGGTTTGTTTTTGTAACACCCTACCCTATACGTTTTGCCTAATCATATTATTCATACATTTGCAGCGGAAATAATCTTGGGTGTTACATTAATTACCAAAATTTACCCAAATAAAATTTCGACATGAATTACTCGCGTAATGGGCTAACAGTTCTTGCAACTTATCCTGCAAAATAATTCATCACAAACATATATACTCACAACCATAAGCATTGGCTTTCGTAGCCAAAGTCACAGTTTCATACTACTCAACTGCATACCAAACTTATACGTACCATAATCGTCACAACTTACACAGTTACACAACATATACACATATCATCAACTTTCCACACCTGTGGGTATCTCACACTACATCAGAAGCTAGTATGCACATGAAAAACGTTCTCAAAACATTTTTACAAAAAGGTGTGGATCACTGGCCAAAATCCCGAGTAGTAGTCCAAGCACAGAATGGTTGAAGACCATACCTCATCTTGCCTTCAACTCTTGCTCAGCTCCCACCTATACACCTATCTACTGCTGCTGCTGATGATCTGCTTACACATAGCATAAGCAGAGCAGAAGAATAAAAGAGGGTCAGCTCATAGCTGAGTGAGATAATCATAGCATCGTGAGTTCATAACAGAGCATACCACTATCATACATCTAGCAAACAAGCCAAAGCACTGGGATCAGATCTCAGCCCTCCGTCATCCCAATAGGCAAAAGACTCAACCACCTTGACTTATGCATATGCATCTTATCATGTTTTACTTATAGGCGCCTGGCTACTCCCATGCTAATAACTCTCCCGGGAAACATACCCCACATCCCGTCTAATGTAGTCATACATACCCCAACATCCCGTCGGATGTGGTCATACATACCCCACACCACTATGGGTGTAGTCATACCCCGACACCGCTCTGGGTGTGGTCATATCTCGTAAGAATTCTTCAGTCACTACCACATGAGAGGTGTGACTATCATACATATCATAATAGAGTAATAGCATAGGGAGCCCTAATTACTATGTAGTTGACCGTGAGACCACAACACTCATATTTGGTATCCTTGTACATGATTCATATCTCATCTTGCTTAATCATAATTCATTACTTACACATGTACTTGACCTGGCCGTAATTGGCTCAACATAGGTAAATCAGAAGTCGTATAATTGCACTTCCTCGGGATAAACCCTCGTGCAAGTCATCCTCCTTAAACATCATAATATCACCCTGGGAAGTTTATTTCCCCCACTTGTGAATCCAAAAACAACCACAATATCACATCATGTCAAAACACCTGATCGAACAACCATGAAGTCATATCAATGGTTAAGCCACAAATGGCAACATGTATGCAATCATCAACATAAACAAGGCTCATATCGGCTAGGGAAAGTCAATAATATCATACAACAATCCATGGTGCATCATATAGCATAAAAGTCCATACACCCCTAATCATGCCATTCTAGTTCACCTAGGTCAATTCTAAGCATCAATATAATTATCGTGATACGACAAACCCGGTATGCCGTGCTAATCCCTCACCAGTTCTGGTCGTTCAAACACCGGTTTAACCTTCCCGTAGTAAAACATCAATCTCACGAACGAACCCCGAATTAAAATCCGAGACCGTCCTAATATCCCCACAGTATCCCCGTCAATATTAGTTCTAGACTCCGGGTCAAATTCTCGATAAAAACACATCAAACCCTGGCCGAAGCTAAATTCAGCGATTTGGTTCCCGACCTAAATAATTGTCGAAATTCAGGGATTAGAACTAGAGGATTGATTACCTCGCTGCAAGAAGCTCGTATATGAAATTTGGGCTTAATCCGGCTTCTGAATCCTCCGAAACTCTAATTCACACAATCAGAGATTCAGAAATTGCTGGTCCGAAATTTTGCTATCAACTACGAGATTGATAAACTAGGTTGTATTGATGGATTACCTATCGATTGCACCAATTTTGGATTGCTAAAACCCAAAACCCCAGCTATCCAAAACTATTCGAACCTCCCCTGTTTCTGCTCTCCATTTTGCTTGCGGGACAGAAAATGGAATAAATGGGAAGTGAGGTGTGTGCGCATATATAAAGACGAGGGAGGGGTGTACGTGTACAAACAATGGCAAAGCGGTTCGGCCGCTTCTTTATCTTTTATTTTCCTTTTTCCTTTTTAATTATATATATATATAATATAATTAATACGAATACTTATCCGATTGATCAATATCCCGATTTTCGATGAAATACTGTCAAAACACTCGATTTTAAATCTTGAAATTTTCTAGGGATCGTAATACGAGTTTAGCCAAAATGGGATGTTACAGTTTTCAACCTTTTCATTATCATTTTTTGGAGAATCAGATTAGGGTGTGAAGTGAGGTGATTTTTTGAATTGATGCTTGAATGTAGAAATTAGGGCGAGGGATTAGTTGATTAAGGTTGAATGAATGTTGCATAAGGATTGCATGAGTTTAATTGAGCCTTGGTGGGCATGATTTAGGTACAATTTTTGGTTAAGTGTGAAAATTGGCCACAATGTGCAAAAATGTGAATGAATGTGGATCCTTGATTTTGATTGATGGTTATAAGCCATCGAGGCATGGTTTGGGTTTGATATTGTGCTTTGATAATCCGTGAATCAACGAGAACCATGCCTTGAAGAGCTATGTGTGCGCTTGAACTTCAATTGTGAAATCTGGTCTTGTAAAAAGCCTTCAAAGGCATAGGACCATAGTGGAAACCTAAGTGCGTGGGAAATCATTTTCTCCCATTTGATGTGAGATTGACCATTATTTCCACGTATGGTGCGTGTTTTGAATACTTTGCAGGATGGTCGATACGGAGCACGAGTACATCCACTACTTGGTGAACCACGAGTGGTTTGGGGCCAAGTTTGGCCTGTGGTGAAATAGCGAGGTTGGGCCTCATTAGATGCTCGATCTGGACATGTTTAACATGTTCAGGTGTTGGGCAGCGATGCCATGGGAGTAAGCGGAGTTGACCCTACGTCGATTTCATGTGGGGAGGCCAGCTACGGGTGCTGACCTACGACGACTTTAAAAAGGCCAGGGGCTTGACCCCACTCATATGACAATGACGGAGAGACAGTACACTGTCGACTTCCACTACCAGGCCACATTTTTTAGGCCATCTACCACCCTGAGCATCAGAATGATGAGTTCAAGGGCTCTAGCACCAACACCGTGAAGCTCTGGACGTCGTGGAGGATTCTGCACGCCCTCCTAACGAGGTCCATCATCCCCAGCCTACTGTAGGGGCACATGATCACAGACAAAGGGTTGATAGCCCTTCATTCCATTAACTGGCCAATAGATCCACTTCATCTGGGAGCTATGGTTGCTACCACCTTCGCCAGATGCCAGGGCCGGGACCGAGTAGACACGATGCAATTGGGGGGCATCATCACCAGGCTGACCCGACACTTCGGGGTGATGTGGCCCAGTGTTCTATCATCGGCCAGACCGAGCCGTTTCCAGTGAAGACACTCTACAACATGAAGCCGGTGCTTCAAGGAGAGAGAGGAATTGAATTACTCGAGGGACTTCGACCCTCGGCAGCTCTACAACCACAGTTCAACCTTGCGCTAGCGGAGCCTGCCACCCACCAGAGCTCCAGGGCGCCATCGGTGCTCCGCAGCAGCATCATCTGGAGTGGGACCTTCCTCCTCCGGACCCACCTCGAGGAGCGAGTGGATCGTCTCGAGGCGCAGTTTGTGGGAGTCACTACTCGGCTCAACCGATCCGTCGAACTCATAGAGAGGATTGCTCGACATTAGGGCGTCCTTTCGGATGACGATGAGTGATCTAGGATGCACGAAGAGGTAGCTGTCGAGTGAGACTTGTGGCAGAGTCGATTTCTTTCGCCTTACTTCTCCACTTGCAAACTTTGAACTCTTTTTATTTTTATATTCTCCTTATTTAGTGTGTGAACTAGTACTTTGTGAGTTCTTTCCTTTGAATCGTAATGTGAAACTTTACTATGTGTAATAACCTCGCCTCGAGCGAGAATGTGCGTGTGTTTGTATATTGTTTTGTTTTCCCCTTTGAAGCTCAAACATCCTACCCCGGGAAATTCTCCAACTTTCATTCACCAAGCCCTGCGGTAACATTGTTCTACCCCATATTTTACGCAATTGACGACAATGTCGAGCTTAAGTGAGTGTGGTGGGTGGGGGGGGGGGGGTAGTTTATTATTATGCTTGTGTGTGATTAAATGCTTGGAGCCTTGATGTGTGCCCAAATTTGAAAATTTTGAGGGCTCCAAGTAATGCATGATCAAAATGGCCGGTTGGTGGGCGAATCTTGTGCTTATTTGGCATCAATCTTGAATTGTTGTATGTAATCGAGTGCATCCTATTATGATGACTGAGAGTGCATTAGGGTTGTGCAAAAGCTTAGTTCTCATGTGTGCTTAAATGAATGGATGTCTTGACTTGGTTACTTCTTGATTACAACTGCCATGCATTGAAGTTTTTGAAATTGGAATAGATGATTGGGCGGCTAGGTAGCCATGTGAGTTTTGTGCCGATCATTTTTTTCATGTGTGATAGATCCCTCTCGCAATGGCATGTAACATTCACCGTTGTCACTAGTGAGTATGATGGAAGCATAGGATTAGTCCACGCCCAAAATTTGATTGTCCCGAAATATCATATCCCCTAGTCAACCCCTTTGACCCGTGTGACTTTAGGGGCCGTTGTAATTCTAGGAGCTTCGTGCTTGTTGAGCTTCATGGTGATTGAAAGAACGACCCCCCCCCCCCCCCCATCCTTTCTTCGTGTCAAAGTGTGAGTCTTCTCAATTAGTGTCAAATCCCTTTACTTTTCCAAATGTTTTAGCCATAGATCGTTATTTTCACCAACAAAAGCATTTGCTAGATAATGTTACAAACAATCGAAGTAGGGGTACATGAACCGCCCCAGGTCGACATTTAAACATACTTCCCCTATATTGCACCAAATTGAGGTTTATGTTTAAGCCTTGATTTTGATTTTTATTGTGATATTCGGGACGAGTCAATGCACGGGAGAAACATTATGGATTTACATGGCATATATGGCAAGGGGGCTCAATACCAACGTTGCAAGAGTAAATCTCCCGTAAGAGTAAGCGCCTTTGCTTTTCAGCTTGCAGGTTTAGAGTCCAATCTATCCAAGATAATTTTACATTTTGACCCGTCCATGGAGTGCAGGGATGCCTAGGTATCTACCTAGATCTTGTATCACCGTTATCCCCATTTGGTCGACTATGGCGTACCCTACTATTAGTGTATTAGGGGAGAAGAACACTATATATTTATCCTTGATAACGTGTTGTCCAGAAGTTTGGGTGAATTGGGAAAGAGAGGTTCCCACCATCAACCAACATTTTTTATTAAATCAGTTGAGATTTGTCTTTCCCTGGCGCTTTGTACTGGTTACGCCTCATCAATCAGCATAAAACATGATCGTAAAAGACTAAAAGTACCATAATGCCATATGCTTAAGCGCTTCCTCTTCAAATTCCCACTCGTCCCTCTCATTTCGATGGCATGATATTTTGTTGAATTTGCATCCCTTACGGTGGACAAATGAAAATATCTATTGTTGTGGCATCCTTCGACTATCCATGTGGCTCTTGATTTCTTGAACCAGAGCAATTATTTTTGCTAGAAAACTACCTTGAGTTCAACCTACTTTTCTGTTTCACCCTTTATACTGGTAGGCATGACCCTCTATCGTTTGCAACTCTAATTTGTGTAGCTAGGCTATCAATTGCTCGTTCTTTATCCTAGTGTGGCCAAATGTCTCTTTATTCCACCGTTGTAATTCCTCATATAGATAATGGAGAGATTCTGGTAGCTTCTTCAACTTTGAGTTAAAGTCTGTGAGAAGCCCTCATGCGTTAGCATTACAACCTAAAAATAGAAAGGGTGATAACATCTAAATAGATGTTATTTTCCTTTCAATTCTTAGGTATTTTCATTATAATTTGAGCATCTAAAGTTCATTTGAGCCACAATGTGGCCTGGGATTGTTTGCTTACACATGTTCGTTATTATGTGACATTTCAAGGCTCAAGTCTTTATGTCAAGAAGTCCAAGGCACAAGAGTAAAGAAGGAGGCAAAAATCCAGATTGCACCTCAGTGCACTAAATCATGGTCGAGAAGTGACCAGGTCGCAATTAAGATCACGACCAATGCACAAGCACGCGACCGTGATCCCAAATCGCCCTACAGTGATCTCAAGGAGGTAGCACACATAAAAGCTGATAAAGTCTTGAGGTCTATGTTGCATTTTTCACATTCGAGGCCGTGACAAAGATCGTGGCCACAACTTTTAGTTTGTGACCGTAAAGTCATACCTATAATTAACCACCTGAGCAGCCCATTGCAACGTTGTTTGGAGATCACAATCTGAAAACCAAGATCGTGCACTTAATCTCCTCCGTCTTGTGGAAATCGTATAAATAGAGGATTGCCCCTTTTTCTTAAGAGACTTTGAAAATATTGAAAACCCTAGGGTTAGATTAGAGAGAGAAGTAGTTTGTTTGTGAAGAAGATGATAACAAGAGAAGAAGTGGAGTTATGAGGAGGATTTTCTACTCAAGAGAAGGTCCTTTTCTAATAATTTCTTCATTTCTTTCCATGATTCTCCCTCTTTCCTTCATGGGGTGGTGTATTAAGATACTTAGGGATTTGCACCTGACTCGCAAGAAACTACACCACAATAAAACCTCAAATAGAGCCCAAGTTTTTAAACTCTAGTCGGGTGCAGTATAGGGCAAGTATTTAGATATCGACCCGGGCCGGTCCGTCTACCCCTACTTCGGTTGTTGAAATCATTATCTAGCAAAAAAAATTTGGTTTAAAGGTTTACTGGTTGAAATAAAAGAATGAAAAGGTAAATGGTTTTGGAAACTCTTTTGTGGAAGCATCATGATAGACCATCATTTGCACATATTTTGACCACCATTCTTGAACCGTTTGAGAGTCAATTCTCATGTTTTAGACTGATTTCATGCTAGGTTGTTCGTTTATGTCATATTTAGGACTTGGTGTGGATATGGAGGCATGAAAACGAGTTTTGAGTCAAAAAGTGGAGAGTTGGAGCGAAAGGAGCTGGAAGGAGTAAATACCCCCGGTCAGGCCCTAAAATTCCCGACCGGGTAAACGAGAAGGAAGGACCGGGGAAAAGCTGTTTTGGAGGCCAGGAGATCAGAAGGGGCCCCGACTAGAAGGCATAAAGACCCGATCGGGTATTCTGAACCTCGATCGGGTATTTCCCTTTCTCCACTACGCTGCATTTCAAAATACCCGGCCGATCACCTGAAATACCCGAACGGGTATTATGGTCGGGTATCGCGATCTCGAGCATTTAAAGGGAAGAAAGCCTCTTTTGTGGGGGGGGGGGGTCCACTTTTGAGAAAAAGAAAGCAGAAAACTTAGCGAGAGAGAGAGAGAGCGACGAACAGAACTTCCAAGCGCCCTAAATCGATCTCCATCACCATTGGAGCTCGATGGAAGCTTGGAGAAGTGCCGATTGATTACCAGAAGCAGATTTCCATTCTTCACAGAATGATTTCCGATCTGAAGCAGATTTCCTTCTCTCTGTGGAGTAAACTCTCTCACTCACCTGGGTATGATGAACCCTAGATTTGTATGTTAGGTCTGGTTGTATGAACCCAAGTACAAGTTCTTTGATATTGATTGTATTCAATTGAGGCACGTTTTCAGAATTGCATGAATCCTGATCAAATTCTTGTAGTTTCTGCTTTTACCTAGAAAGAGAATGTCCGCCTAGGTTGATAGAGCACCCTTAATTGAAGATAGTGAATTGACGACTTTAGTAGAGGAGTCGGTTCACTATTCTGTACTGGATTTACTTCAGTAGAGGAGGTTTGGCACGTTAGGGCCTCGGTCTGTTTACTCCAGTGGAGGTTATTCGCCCATTGGGGATTCAGATTGAGAGGGTCTAGAGACCTTTAGGGGAGACTTCAGACTGTCTAATAACCTTCCGTGGTATAATTATCATTGAAACTGGACTGGGTGAATTACAACTTGGCTTAACTGCAGTCTAGGGGGAACCATATCTAGGTGACCTCTCTCAAACTTGGAACACAATATTTACTGCTTTTGTCTGCTAGTTTAGTTGGAACTTCACTATAGTTGAACCGCTAAATAATAAGAATCTCACTGAGTAGTAATCACACCTAGGACCCGGGTTGACATTTAAATCTAAGCCCGCTATACTACGCATTAGTAGGTGGTTACACTTGGCCACTTTCTAGTGTGACACTACAAGCGAGTCACATCACTCGGGTGTTGCTTCCCCCTAACTGCTACCATGCTACGTGCACAAGAACGATTGCTTTGGGTACGGTAATCGTGAACCGCAGAGGGATGCAGATATGGTCGAAGACCATAATCTCAATTGCTAGACTGAGGTAAGCATGAAAGGCCGTGTCACTGGACCCTCTCAGTTTAGACAATTGGTAGTTGACTTACTCCCTCACTCAACTCTAAGGCCGGACGGCTTAATCGCAATAAACTGATTTGCTTAACTCAATATTGTGGGTTGCCCTAACTTAACCTAGTTTAGGTAGCTTAGAAAGCGGAAGGAAAACCAACGCGATTGAGTCTCCCTCGAAAGGGGGATTTTCCTCTCTAAGCTAGGGTAAGGTGGCTAATTAGATTGCTAGCACCTACATGCACAAACCTAAGGGTGCTAAGCACAATTATACACAACCCCTAAGTTGCTAAGCACAAGCATGCACAATCATGATAGATAATGCCTCAATCATTGAATTGAACAATACCCAATGACAATCATCCAATACACATAAAAGAAAACTACATGGTAGAGTTAGAGTTTCACCACACCCAAGTGAAAGGAGGTCTTCTCCATGCTAGAAGTGGGGAAAACAAAAGGGAAAGAGGTGGAAACCATCTTGGAGGATGCTCTTAGTCTTCTTGGCCCTTGAGTTGAGCTTTCCTTGGAGAAAATCTTCCCAAAATCTGCCTTGAAGCAAAACCCTTTCCTTCTTCTCCCTTTGGTTCGTGTTTCTCTCTCTAGAATTATGAAGAAGGCTTCTCACACAAAATGGGCTCTCCCCTCTCTCCTCCTTTCAATTCATCATTTAATCCCGAGAAGAGCTGAGTTCACGGTCGTGAACCATGAAACACGTCCGTGAACTTCAGGTGTGCACAAAATTGCGCCGCATCATTCACTTCTGTTCACGATCAACTGCCCTCGTTCACAGTCTTAGTGACCGTGAACTCACCTTGCATCATTAACCTCCACTTTGGCTCTGGATGCCTCACGATTCACGGTCCATGGCTCTTCTTCACGGTCATGCAAGACTGTGAACTTCCTTGGTTAGCCGTGAACTGGCCCTTTATCACCTCTTCACCCGGGTTTTGATCCTTTTCGCCAATCTTTTGACTCCGAGGCTGGTTTCACCTATTAAATCATGAACACACTAAAACAAGGGAAACCTAACATAAAACCAACCTTTTAGGAGTGAATTTGGCACAAACATCTAAGTAAAACGGGGGCAAAACATGTACAATTAGGCCTGAATCACTCCCCCACACTTAGACGTTTGCTTGTCCCCGAGCAAACCATTTCACGCAAGGTAATATTTTAACCTACACAAATACTTTGGGGATAACTCAAAGGGCGCGAAACGGGAATTCTCGATGGTTATTGGCAATAAACACATGGACCATTGCAATCAATACTGACATCCACCACAAACGACATTCAAAGCCACCAAAACGGGCAAATGAAAAGTTCTCAACTTAATCATGGATAAATGCAAGTCTCAACAAAACCACTTATCGACCAGAACCAACAATGCATGAAATTCAAGTCCGAGGAACAAATGGAAAGGCAACAAAGGTCCTCACCGGGGTATGAAATGGTAAGTAAAATAAGAATGAATCACTCACTCTCAAGACCAGTGGGGTCGGGACCTTTTTGGTGCAAAAGATGTGCACAATCGTAACCTCTCGGCCGTATCATCTCAATACCACGGCGGCAACCTCTAAACGTTAGAGTTCACGGGATGGTTGTCACCACTAGCTCGTCCGGAGGTCTTAGATACGAGTTCAAATGACTTGCGATTGTCTTGGACATGGGAAAAAGGCTTTTTGGGTGGTGGCAATCATGACGTGATGTTCTACATCTTCAACCTAAACCCAAAGGTTCTATGTTTTCGAATAAAACCCTCTTCAATCAAAGGCCACTAGCATCAGCCAAAAACCTTATCTCTCCCTTCCAACTATCACCCATCGTGAACTATCTTGAAGCACTCTTCCTCGGTCAACTCTTGCTAGCTCAATAAGGTTTGGTAGTAAAGGATTTCTAAAACAATATGGGGGTTTCGATGGCTTGGGTGCCAAGAAACCCCTCCTAGAGCATGTACTTTGGTTATTCTTGGCACTCTCTACTTTATTTACCCCATTTTATTTCCTCTTTTTCGTTTCTCTTTTCTTTTCTGTTCTTTCTCTTTTTTTTCTTTTTGAGGGGGGGGGGGGTACTAGAGAGTAAAAACACTTGTCACCTAAACATTTAACGACCAATGCTCTCTTTTTGAGGAACTCACTCCAACACTACACTTCATTTCGCATTCCTAGCAAGAACAACACACAAACCTCCTATGTAGAACCTCTATGGAGACTCAAAGGTGAGAGCTTTGGAACACGCGGGCGACTCATGTTTAGACACCAAGAAAGGATTGGGAGTCGTTCTACTAATACCTTTACGCTCACACGCACGAAGCTCCTAAATTGAGAACGACCTACGAAGTCACAAGGCTCAAAGGGGTTGACTAAAGGATGATACATTTTGGGACAATCAACATTTGGGCATGGACTCATCCTATGCCTCCATCATACTTGCTAGTGAAAACTTGTGATGCTACAAACCGTGGTAAGAGGGAACTATCACACCGGAAGAAAACGATCGGCTCACAGTCTACCCCAACCATCTATTCCAATTCACAAACACGATGCATGGCAATTGTAAGCAACAAGTGATCAAGTCAAGACATCCATTCATTTATGCACACCTGAGAACTAAACTTTTGCCCTATCCTAGTGAACTTCTCAGTTATCATCATAGGATATACTCGATCACATGCAATAATTCAAGATCAATGCCCATAAACACGAGAATTTACCAACATCCGGCCACTTTGATCATGCAAACATTGCTTAGAGCCCTCAAATTTTTAAATTTGTGCATACAAAATGCTCCAAGCATCATCACACTCACACAAGCATACTAGTAAACTACCCCCCACACATAAACTCGGCATTGCCCTCAATGGCGTAAGAAAGGGGCAGAATGATGTTACCGCTTGGGCTTGGTGAGTGAAGGTTGGAATCGAACCGGGGTATGATAATTTGAGCTTCAAGGAGAGACAAAAAACACACACACACAAGCACAATAGGACTCGCTCGAGGCGAGGTTATTACAAGCACAATACATAGTAGTAGTTTATGTCACACACGCACACACACACACACACACACACAAATAACAAAAACAAAACAAGTTCAGGTTTACAAGTAGAGAAGTGGAGCGAAAGAGCTCCGCTCTGCCACATGTCTCACTCGTCGGCTACCTCTCTCCGGTGGAAGGACCATCTCCAGCATCGGGTAGGATACCTTGGTGGCGAGTCATAAGCTCGAGGATGTCAGACTGCCGGTCGAGACGGGATGAGAATCCCATGAAGCTCGTCTCAAGACGATCCACCCTCTGGACGAGGGGATCGCCTGCTGGTGGTGGTGGCTGCTGTGCAGGGCTGACACGCCAAAACACAACACCAATCTGCGACCAAGTGTAATCGCAGACTGGGAATGCAGTAAAGTGACAAGTGATATTATCAACAAGGGGTCTAGATCTACTGCTTACTCAGTGATTATCTATTATCTAGCCAACTAAAGTAAGTGATTGTTGTTTAAAAGCAAAAGCAGAAAGAAAGCAGGAATTGGTACGGTTTTCTCAAGTAGATAAGAGTCACTCGGGAATGAGTCCCCCTAGCTCCTTAGTTAGGTTCAATTGCAATTACCCTGGGTTGATTTACTGTTGATTAGACTGCGGAAGATCCGACAGTAGCTTGGAATCTCTTAAGCTGACCAAGCCCTCTCAGTCTAACTACCCGGCAGACGACTAGTCTTCACCGGGATAGAAAGCTGAAGCAGTAAGAACAGAACTCCACTACTGGAATTGGATTCCAGTACAAAGCAGTAAACTGGCTAACTCTCGTATAGCCAATCTCCTACTACCGAATGATGAGACTCTAGCAACCTAATCAGATTCTATCTATCTCAGATTGCAGCAGGAATCAGGAAAAGTTGATCAGACTTCAATTGACTCAATAAACATGCATCATTCGATTAAAATCAAACAGTAATATCATCCCAAGTCATTACAATCAATCCCTAACACATAGAACTAGGGTTCTTCATCCCCAAGTGAGAGAGGGGTTCTACTCCATAGAGAGAGATAAGAAAACAGTAATCGGAGTAGTCATACTCATAAAGATGAGGAAAATCTGCTCCGGGATGATGATTTCCACTCCTAGGACGATCTCCTAGCTCGATTCGATGAAACCCAGCTCCAAGATAGCTTCTAGGATGTGTTCTTCGTACTTTCTCTCTCTAGGGCTCTATTTTTGCTCAAAAAGTCCGATTCCTCTTCCTGGGCACGAATCTGCCTTCAAAAAGGGCATCAGTGGCCAAAGCACGGTCGAGGGCACGGCCGTGTAATGCCTCAGCCCGCCCGTGCTTTGGCTAGGGTTAATTACACGGCCAGTGCATTGGGAGAAACACGGGCGTGTTTTGTGATGGTCACGGCCGTGCTTTGGGAGGACACGGCCGTGCTTTGTCTAAGCCCTGCCCGTGTTTTTAGCCAATGTTTGCCAAACTCGAATTTGCTCTCGGCAGTAAAAGCACGGCCACAGAACACGGCCGTGTTCTGTTTTAGGTCTGCCCGTGTTTTGGCTCCAGCTTGACGAAATGACTTCCAAATGCCCCGAAACTCGTGCTTAGCCTTTCCTTTGACGCATGGGACCTGAAATATGACAAAATAGCACAACCCGGCGTAAAATAGGCCAAAAACACACGACTATGCCCCTCAAACGGATAAGAACTAGGGGCGCAAATATGTGCAATTACATCGTTATCAAATTCCCCCTCACTTAACCGTTTGTTTGTCCCCAAGCAAACCAAGTCAGACACAAAGTAAGCTCAAAACAACAAGGCATGACATATCGGCACAAAACACGTGGATCATACTGGCTTTCGATCATTAACACATGGACAACCTCAATGACAACCTAGACAACCACCACAGATGACATTCGAATGCAGTAGAATCGAACAAAGGAAGAGTCTCCCTTCTGTTCACCAACCAACATAGACTTGACTCAACCACTTGTTCAAAATAGTCACATCATGCACAAAGTTCAAGATATCAGAATTAAGACCGAGCAATCTAGGTCCTCACCGGGATAAAGAGTATAGAGAATAAGAGAAAATGAATCGCTCACTCTCGACCAGTGGGGTCAGGATAATATGATGCGAAAAATGTGCATGCTTAATCTCTCAATCCCTAACATCTCTTCATCATGAATGCAGCCTCTAAGTGCTAGAGTTCACATATGGGGTGTCATCACTAACCAATCCGGAGGTCTTAGACACAGGTTCAGATGACTGGCTAGGGTCTTGGACATGGGGAAAAGGCCTTTTAGGTGGTGGAAGTATTCATACAGCACAAGGTTCCACATTTCCAATCCCAACAGACTCACAATCAATCCAACCAAACTTTCTTTCTGCTATTCTGCATTACTCAAGTTCAGAGCACAAGAGCGAAGGAGGTTACATAAATGCTAGTATTTCTAAGCCAGACTGCTAAGAAACTACTACATGGGCATTATTCAGATTTTTGGTGGTGGCTCTCTTTTGCTTTCAATTTTTCTTTGTTTTTTCTTTCATTATTTTTCATTTCATAAGAGAACCACCGCCTCTGCACATTTTCAAACACCTGCCCAACTTTTAAGCACTACCTCCAACCCTCACATTACATTTAGCAGAAACAGCAGAGAACAAGAAAAAATCACTCTGTGGAACCTTCTAAAAGATGCAAAAGGGTGACTTTTCATTAAAGACCGAAAGAAAGAAAACACACGGCTCAAAGGGGCTGACTAGGGGTATGACACACCAGGACAGTCAATTTGGTCGTGGGCTAATCCTATGCCTCCATCATCTTAGCTAATGACAACGTGAATGCTGCACATCATGGAAGAGGAAACTATCGCACAAGAAAGAAACGAGCAGGCTCAAATCTCACATGGCTACCTATATGCTCTATCTCACATTCTAATACCCTGAACTAGATGCATAAATGACTGTCAAAAGCAAGTGATCAAACCAAGTGACATTTGGTGAGCAGACAGTTGAAAAACTGAACCCCTACACAATTCTACTGCACATCTCAATCATCACAATAAGTTGTCTAAGTCACACTCAAGTTGTCATGTATCAAGTCAAAAGCCATTCAATTTACTAATCACATCCACAGTGCCAATACGATCAATCATCAAGCAAACAGCCGCGCTTGGAGCCCTCAAATCTACATATTTGGATAGTGGACTAGGCTCCAAGCACACATATATACGTTCCAATTCATACAAAGAAACCCCCCCCCCCCCACACTTAAACGCGACAATGTCCTCAATGGAGCAGAGGGAAGGGGAACGATGTTACCGTGAAACAGTGGTCAGGAACGTTGACTGGAAGGCGGACCAGTCAAAAGAAGGGGGCACAGAGCTAGAGACAACAAAAACACACACACTGGGGACTGCAAATAAAGCACAAATAAAGCACAAAACCCGCTCTAGAAGGCATCACCGCCATCGCCGGTGGGTGGAGGGTACTCATCCTCAAACCCTGGGGACTGCATGAACGGGTAGTGGACCGCGTTCGGGTCCAAGCCCAAGTAGGACATGATGTAGTGCTGCCCCGACATAAGACGACGCCCTCGGTCCCGCTCACGATCAAGGCGGGTGTGGATGCGCTCCTGGCCGGCCAGGATGCGCTCATTTTGTTGAGAGATCGCCGCCAACTGGTCGGAGATGGGCACCACCACTGGAGGAGGTGACCCTGGAGAAGGAGACCAGGGAGCAGGAGAGGGACTCGCGGGAGCCTGGGCACGACGGGGAACGCGACGGGGAACTCGGCGCCCACCAGCGGCGCTCGACTCGGCCTGGTCGCCCTCTGCAGGTATAGGCGGCTGAGGAAGGCCCGCGATCCAGCGCACACGCCCGAGGCGAGCAACCAAGTGCTGGTGGCGGAGAGTAGGCTCGCCGAGTGGGGTTGGTACGCGGACCAATGTCATCCCTGTGTAGTCCACCCCGTAGTTGCGGGCCAAGGCGGTGATCACCGGGCCACAAACGAGGCTGTGAGTCATGCTGATGGCTGCCTTAGTGAACGTCCGGGCAAGCACAGAGCCCAACTGGATGGTGTTCTCAGAACGACCCATCGCATGCAACAACCAGAGAGTCCGGAGTGTGACCCAGTTGGACGAGCCCTGGCTGGGTGTGTAAGAAGTGCACATCAGGTGGTTGAGGATCCGCCATTCCGGATGGAGGAGAGCAGCCCGCGTCTGGCTGGCCACGTACTCTTCATCCACACTTTCCTGCAGGCAAATGCTCTGAAAGGATGCCTGACAAGCGAAGTCGGTGGGATCTGAGAGGTCCAAGCGTAGGGGCGGCCCGCCTGCTGCCCGGGAATTGAGACGAAGTGCATTGGCAAACTCCCAGTAACTGAGGGAGTGCTCCACCCTGCCGAGGGTGAACTGAACTGCATCAGCAGGGTCGGAGTTCCCCTTCAAGTTGTGGTGGAAGGTGGCGTAGAACTCCCAAACTAGCTCCTTGTAGGTCGGCTCGGCGAGGGTAAGAAGATGCCGCCAAGCAGGGGAGCGGACCGCGGCCTCCATCTGTGGCCTGGCATGAAGCTCCTCTAACACCCCCCAATCGAGGTGAAAGTGCTCGGCGATGCTGCGGTCACGGAGGTTCCGCAGCTTATGGCGCTGGACGATGTTCATCTGGTCGAGATAAACCTCCATGATCCTGCAAAACACAATGAAGGACAAAGTGTACACAAGCAAACGGGGTCAATGTTAGGCCAAAACCACACCGGGAGCCCTCATATCGAAAGATATGGACAGTGGACTAGACTCCCGGCGACACAAACATACCCATCATACGAGATTTACACAGCAAAATACACCGGGGACCCTCAAATTGAGCGATTCGGACAGTGGACTAGGCCCATGGTGAAACAAGCATACCACAACTGTCCTAAATAGCAACAATCGAGGCATCACAGAAAAATCACATATCACGCAGACCATTCAACATGCAATCAGCCCAATCATCCCCCAAACCCAAAATATTCCCAAACCATGCATTCCACAATCAAAAGTTCTTCACCTAACTCTAGGAATCGATTCTCCATAAATAAAAGAAAAGACGAGGAGAACACACCTGGAGACGCAAGGAGAGACCACGAGAGAGGTGAAGAAAGTGGAAAGAAGTACCCAAAGTCGCCGGAAAACACACCGGAGACTCGCCGGAAAACTCATCGCCGGTGACCCAACCTCGGCCAAACCAGACCAAAACTTTGGGGAATGTGCTCCTCGACGCCCGGAGCATGGGGGGCGCTCGCGGTTTGTGATTTGGAGGTCGGGAGGAGGAGTTATGGCCGGAAAACCGAAGGAGAAGAGGAGAGGTCCGATTTTCAGGCGAAGGGGGGCGGGTGGGGTTTGAAAAAAAATGAATTTGGAGGAGAGAGGGGGGGGGGGGAAATCGACTTTTATAGGGGGGAGGGCAAAACACGGGCGGGCTGGAACACGGCCGTGTTCTGCCTGTTCCCCGCCCGTGTTTTTACTGCCGCAGGCAGTGTTTCCCCCTTATTAAAACACGGGCGGGCTCTGGTCAAAACATGGCCGTGTTTTCAGAGCCCAGTGCCCGTGCTTTTTATGCCGAGAGAAAAAAGCAAAACACGGGCGGGACAGGGCAAAACACGGCCGTGTTTTGGCCCCCTGCTCCCCGTGTTTTTACTGTTGAGCCTAAAATGCCTTTTTTCAATTTTCAATCTCAAACCACCAAGACTCATTCGTGCCCCGGTTCTAAAATTACCCAATCACACATCAAAAAGAACCGCCCGAGGCACGAAAAACTTTCCAGACTGACTCCAGACAGACTCAAAGACTCAAAAACCGACAAAGATGAAATAAATAAATAAAAACAAAGGGAGAAATGCAAACCGTGGTGGGGTTGCCTCCCCACAAGCGCTTCTTTACCGTCTTTTAGCTGGACGCCAGTAGAGGAACTAAGGGTCCTCGAGCTTGATCAGCAGCTCTGCGCGCTTGACAGCACCTCCCAAATACAACTTTAGGAGGTGGCCATTCACCTTGAATGGCTCGGTTTGAGCATTGCTGATCTCCACCGCACCGTGCGGGAAAACTTGGGTGACCGTGAAGGGTCCCGACCACCTCGAACGGAGCTTGCCCGGAAAGAGTTTCAGGCGTGCATTGAAGAGTAGAACACGATCACCTACCTGAAACTCCTTCGGGCCTCTTAACCTTGCGTCGTGGAGACGCCTTGTGCGCTCTTTGTAGAGCAGGGTGTTCTCGTAGGCGTGGTAACGCCACTCCTCCAACTCCAGCAGCTGCAACTTACGTTCTATACCTGCAACACTCAAATCCAGGTTTAGCAGTTTAATGGCCCAGAAGGCCTTGTGCTCTAGCTCTACCGGCAAATGGCACGCCTTCCCATAGACAAGCCTATAGGGAGAAGTGCCAATCGGATTTTTGTAGGAAGTCCTATACGCCCAAAGAGCATCATCGAGCTTGGTGGACCAATCCTTGCGGGACTGATCCACCGTCTTTTCAATAATTCGTTTTAGCTCCCGGTTCGTCTGCTCGGCCTGCCCATTTGACTGGGGATGGTAGGCCACCGACACCTGATGCTTAACACCATAGCGAGAGAGGAGTTTAGTGAATTGCCCTTGAAAATGGGTTCCTCTATCACTAATGATGGCGCGGGGTGTCCCGAACCGGGAGAACAGCTGCTTCAGAAATGAGCAGACCCGTCTTGCATCATTGGTGGGCATGGCTTGAGCTTCTGCCCACCTCGAGACGTAGTCTACTGCAACCAATATGTACAGATTGCCAAAAGATGGAGGGAATGGGCCCATGAAATCGATACCCCAAACATCAAAAATTTCACAAATAACAGAGATATGTTGGGGCATCTCATCCCGGGAAGAAATGTTACCTGACCTTTGGCAGCGGTCGCACTGGCGTGCGAAGGAGTCTGCATCCTTGAAGAGCGAGGGCCAATAGAAGCCCGACTGTAGCACCTTCCGAGCCGTGCGGTTACCTCCATGGTGACCTCCAGTAGGTCCCTCGTGGCATTGAGACAGGATGTCTCCCATCTCTTGCTCCATGACACAGTGCCGGATCACGCTGTCTGCTCCGATTCTGAAGAGGTACGGATCCTTCCAGAAGTAATGCTTCAGATCGGAGAAGAACTTGCGCTTTGCATGAGTAGCCATCCCCTTGGGTAACTGCTTGCCCACCAGATAATTGGCAAAGTCAGAATACCACGGGGTCACACTGTCCACCAGTGTCATCGCCAGCAATCGCTCACCCAGGAAGGAGTCATCGATCTCTTCCACGAAGTTGTCCACCGGAGGGGCTTCCAACCGTGGAAGATGATCTGCTGCAACATTCTCGGCTCCTTTCTTGTCCCGTATCTCTATGTCGAATTCATGCAGAAGCAGGATCCAGCGGATGAGCCGAGGCTTTGCATCAGCCTTGCTCATCAAGTAACGAATCGCCGAGTGATCTGTGTAGACCACCACATGTGAGAGCACCAGATATGGCCGGAACTTGTCAAATGCATACACCACAGCGAGGAGCTCCTTCTTAGTGGTGGTGTAGTTCTCCTGTGCATCGTTCAAGGTCTTCGACGCGTAGTAGATGGGCTGGAAGTGCTTCTCGCGTCTCTGACCCAGAACTGCTCCGACTGCATAGTCACTCGCATCGCACATCAGCTCAAAAGGGAGAGACCAGTCAGGAGTTACCATGATAGGGGCATGGGTCAGCTTCTCCTTCAGAGTCTCAAATGCAGCTGTGCACTCGGGAGTGAACTGGAATGGTGCATCCTTCTCTAGCAGCTTGGTCAAAGGCAGGGCAATCTTCGAGAAATCTTTGATGAAGCGCCGGTAGAAGCCTGCATGACCTAGAAAGCTGCGAATCCCCTTCACAGAAACGTGAGGAGGTAGCTTACTGATCGTCTCAATCTTCGCGCGATCCACCTCAATCCCCTGCTTGGAGATCTTGTGCCCGAGCACAATCCCCTCACGGACCATAAAATGGCACTTCTCCCAGCTGAGTGTCAGATTCGTCTCTTCACACCTGTTCAGAACGAGTTCCAGGTTATGGAGACAATGAGAGAAGGAGTCTCCATAAACCGAGAAGTCATCCATGAAGACTTCCATGATCTCTCCAACCAGTCGGTCAAAGATCGCCAGCATGCGTCTCTGGAAGGTCGCCGGTGCATTACACAGCCCAAATGGAATCCTCCTGTAAGCAAAGGTACCGAAGGGGCAAGTGAATGTGGTCTTCGCCTGATCCTCTGGTGAAATAGGGATATGGAAATAACCAGACATGCCATCCAGGAAGCAGTAAAACTCATGCCCAGCCAACCTCTCCAGCATCTGATCAATGAAAGGCAGGGGAAAATGATCTTTCCTGGTGGCGTCGTTCAGGCGCCGGTAATCGATGCAGACTCTCCAGCCGGTCACGGTCCGCATCGGGATCAACTCCTTCTTCTCATTCGGGACCACAGTCATCCCGCCTTTCTTCGGGACCACCTGAGTGGGGCTGACCCACTTGCTATCAAATATAGCAAAGATGATCCCTGCATCCATGAGCTTCACAATCTCTGCCCGGACCACTGCCTCCAAGTTAGGAGGCAATCTCCTCTGTGGCTGCCTGACTGGCTTAACCTCATCCTCCATCAAAATTCTGTGGGAGCAGAAGGATGGGCTAATGCCTTTGATGTCTGTGATCTTCCATGCCATGGCCCGGGCATACTTCTGCAGCAGAGCCACCAGCTTGCTCTTCTGCTCGGGTGTCAGATCCGAGCTAATAATAACCGGGAGCTTATTCCCCTCCCGGAGAAATGCATACTCCAGGTGAGATGGGAGGGGCTTAAGCTCCAACTCTGGTGGCTCCTCCAATGATGTAGCGAGCCGAGGCGAGATGGGGATCGGCTTGAATGGTATCTCTCGCCCCTCGATCATGGCCTCGTTCAGCTCTGCCAACTGTCCCTCCAGCTGCACATCCTGTGATGCCTGATTCCCTAGCAAAAGACAACGCAAGGAAATCATCAGTACCCGCACTCGTGATGGCGAGTGCGGTCTCAAAATCAGCAACAACATCACAGTAATCTAGATCATCATGGAGCTGGGGGTGTTTCATATTATCAGAAACAGAGAAGGTGATTTGTTCACCCCCAGCTCTCAAAATCAGTTTTCCATCATTAACATCGATAAGCGCCTTGGCGGTGGCGAGAAAAGGTCTACCCAGTATCAATGGCACATCAACATCCTCATTTATGTCCAAAATCACAAAATCAACAGGATATGAAAATGGCCCTACTGCAACTATCAAGTCCTCTGCTATACCCCTAGGATGCACAATGGATCTATTAGCAAGCTGGATGCTCATCCTAGTATCACTGGGTTCACCTAGGCCTAGCTTTTTAAACAGTTTATAAGGCATGACATTTATGCTAGCGCCTAAATCCGCCAAGGACTTCCCTACATGCAACTACCAATCATGCAAGGGATAGTGAAACTCCCTGGGTCTTTTCGCTTCTCTGGTAGTTTGTTCTGCAGGATGGCAGAACACTCTTCGTTGAGCATCACCATTGACAGCTCCCCAAGCTTCCTCTTGTTGGTGAGGAGATCCTTCATGAACTTGGCATACTTGGGCATCTTCGATAATGCCTCCACGAAGGGCATGCTAATGTTTACCTGCTTTAGCATTGCCATGAATTTGGCAAACTCAGTCTCCAGTCGGTCCTTGTGCAACCGAGTAGGAAAGGGAAGCTGTGGTACATACTCCTTCACCACTGGTTGCGGTTTAGGAGCAGACACCTCAACCTACTTCTCCATTTCTTCCTGATTAGCTGGAAGTGCTGAAGCAGGGGTCTCTCTCTCCTCTACCCGAACAGGTGGATCGGCAGTCACCTTGCCACTCCGGGTTGTGATGGCACTACAGTTGGCATTCGGATCCTGCGGGTGAAGAATGGTCTGACCAGGCAAGGTACCAGGAGTCCTCTGAGCTACAGCCTGGGCAACACTCCCAAGCTGGGTTTGTATGTCTCGCAGCACAGCCTGTGTATTTCTCTGACCAGCTTCTAGCTCCAAGAATTTGCCTGAAGCTTTCTCCATGAATTGCTCGATGTTATTGAACTTGTTCGCACTGGAGGTGGCCAGAGAACCCACCAAATCTCTCAATTCTGCCATCGGGTCACTCTGTACTGGAGCTGCAGGTGCTGCTCCTGTCTGCTGAAATGGTCGCACTTGTGACTGTGGTGGAACTGGCCCCTGTCTAGGCTGGTAGAGTGGCTGCTGTGGCTGCTGAAATTGCCCCTGTCTGGGCTGGTATGGAGGCCTCTGGAAGCCAGGTGGTCCCTGGGGAGCTGGTGGTTTGGGACTTGCCCCAGCCCAAGAAAAGTTAGGATGCTGGCGCCACCCCTCGTTATAAATGTTGCTGTAGGGGTCGAAGCGCCTGGCATTACTGATAAAGTCCACCTGCTCCTGGGTAGTAGACGATTCCCTCATCGCCTGACAGTCCTCTACGGTGTGATGGGAGCTCTCACACCACTGGCAGTGCATCGCCTGCGGCTGTCCTGTACCTGCAATCAAATCAGAACGATCGATAGCTGAAACCAGCTTTGATACCACCTGTACCAAATCAGATGACTGGGTGCCCACAGCATGCACACCCCGTCCTGGTGCTCGTCTCGATCTCCTGGCAGTGCCCCAATCGTACCCGTTCTCCGCCATCTCCTCAAAGAGTTGATTCAGCTGTGGCGGTGTTTTGGTCAGCATGTTCCCGCCACAAACCGAATCAATCCACTGCTTGTCCTCCGGGAAGAGGGCGTGATAGGAAGTGCCCACCTTGAACGCATCCTTGAAACCATGATTGGGACACCTGAGGAAAAGACTGGTGTATCTCTCCCAAGCATCCCTGATGGTCTCATCCTCATCCTGGGTGAAGTGGGTGATCTGCTTCTGCAAGTCCGCCGTCTTCGACGGAGGATGGTAGCGGGTAAGGAACTTGTCCGCCAGGTTGGCGAACGTGGTGATGGAGCCCGGAGGTCGAGTGTCTAGCCACTCCTTGGCCTGCCCCTCCAGGGTGAATGGGAAGTACCTCAGCTGGATGGCATCTGCTGGGACCCCATTGATCTTGATTCCATCAATGAGCTCATGGAATCGCCTGAGATGTGATCGGGGGCACTCCCCCTCTTTGCCACGGAACATCACCGAACCGCGCAGCATGGTGATTACTGAGGTGCTCACCTCAAAATTATTGGCTGGGACATGAGGGTGTTGAATAGGTGACCTAATGTCTGCAGCCCTGGCGGTCCAGTAATGTCCCATGGTCTGCTCCTCGGGATCGACCACGGCATGGCCCTATGGATCAGCCATCTCCTCTTCTTCAGTGATCTGTAGCTGTGCTAGCGCCTCCTACGCAGCCAGTCGCGCCTTTAGAGCCCGCTTGAAGTTTCTGCAGGTTCGTTCAAGCTCCTGGTCTAGTGGTAGTAGATCTCCCGACTGGCTACGGGTCATACACTACCTACACACAATCAGCAGAAGCAACCCGTGAAGGCAGACAGGTGGAAGAGATAAAATGCAGTAAATAAAAAGCTAGAATAACAAATTCTCACATTTCCCCAATAACCTAGAGGGCTCCCCGGCAACGGCGCCAAAAACTTGACATGCCAAAACACAACACCAATCTGCGACCAAGTGTAATCGCAGACTGGGAATGCAGTAAAGTGACAAGTGATATTATCAACCCGGGGTCTAGATCTACTGCTTACTCAGTGATTATCTGTTATCTAGCCAACTAAAGTAAGTGATTGTTGTTTAAAAGCAAAAGCAGAAAAAAAGCAGGAATTGGTACGGTTTTCTCAAGCAGATAAGAGTCACTCGGGAATGAGTCCCCCTAGCTCCTTAGTTAGGTTCAATTGCAATTACCCTGGGTTGATTTACTGTTGATTAGACTGCGGAAGATCCGACAGTAGCTTGGAATCTATTAAGCTGACCAAGCCCTCTCAGTCTAACTACCCGGCAGACGACTAGTCTTCACCGGGATAGAAAGCTGAAGTAGTAAGAACAGAACTCCACTACTGGAATTGGATTCCAGTACAAAGCAGTAAACTGGCTAACTCTCGTATAGCCAATCTCCTACTACCGAATGATGAGACTCTAGCAACCTAATCCGATTCTATCTATCTCAGATTGCAGCAGGAATCAGGAAAAGTTGATCAGACTTCAATTGACTCAATAAACATGCATCATTCGATTAAAATCAAACAGTAATATCATCCCAAGTCATTACAATCAATCCCTAACACATAGAACTAGGGTTCTTCATCCCCAAGTGAGAGAGGGGTTCTACTCCATAGAGAGAGAGAAGAAAACAGTAATCGGAGTAGTCATACTCATAAAGATGAGGAAAATCTGCTCCGGGATGATGATTTCCACTCCTAGGACGATCTCCTAGCTCGATTTGATGAAACCCAGCTCCAAGATAGCTTCTAGGATGTGTTCTTCGTACTTTCTCTCTCTAGGGCTCTATTTTTGCTCAAAAAGTCCGATTCCTCTTCCTTGGCATGAATCTGCCTTCAAAAAGGGCATCAGTGGCCAAAGCACGGTCGAGGGCACGGCCGTGTAATGCCTCAGCCCGCCCGTGCTTTGGCTAGGGTTAATTACACGGCCAGTGCATTGGGAGAAACACGGGCGTGTTTGGTGATGGTCACGGCCGTGCTTTGGGAGGACACGGCCGTGCTTTGTCTAAGCCATGCCCGTGTTTTTAGCCAATGTTTGCCAAACTCGAATTTGCTCTCAGCAGTACAAGCACGGCCACAGAACACGGCCGTGTTCTGTTTTAGGTCTGCCCGTGTTTTGGCTCCAGCTTGACGAAATGACTTCCAAATGCCCCGAAACTCGTGCTTAGCCTTTCCTTTGATGCCTGGGACCTGAAATATGACAAACTAGCACAACCCGGCGTAAAATAGGCCAAAAACACACAACTATGCCCCTCAAACGGATAAGAACTAGGGGCGCAAATATGTGCAATTACATCGTTATCAAGGGCGCTGGAGCGCTAGGCGGCGGCGGGCGGGTGAACAAGCAGGTGGCTGCTCGGCTGCTGGCGGGACCTCGGAGTCAGGCTCCTCTAGAGCCAGTGCTACTGCATCTCGGATGACTCCTGAGGGTCGGAGTCCGTCAAGGTACTCCACTCCTCTCTCGCTCTGGAGTACCAGCTTCTAGTTATATAATGTCTCCACTGGGAAGGGCTCCATCCTTCCGACGCTGGTACAGTGGGCCAGATCCACCTGGAAGTGTCGGGCAATCCTCGTGTTGATGCCCCCCCATGTGCATAGTGTCCACTCTATTCCGCCCCAAGCACCGGGCGAAATAGGTGGCGATCAATGAGCCCTCTGTTCGTCATCAAGTGGCCTGACTAGAGGCTGGGGAAGACGGATCTGGTGAGCAGAGTGTGTAGAGTCCTCCACTGGGTCTTCAGCTTCACCGCATTGGTGCGGCTCCCCTCGAACTCTTCCTGCTCGTGCTTTGGGCGGTAGAGGGCTCGGAATGCGCCCTAATAGTTGAAGTCGACGGTGAACTGCCGCTCCGTCATCGTCATGTGGGCGGTGTCGAGCCCCATGGCCTGAGAAAAGCCATCATAGGTCAGCACTCGTGGCTGACCTCCTAGTATAAACTCCAACCTTGGCCGGCTCTTCTTGCTTGCCGAGATGATGTGTGAGAAGGTGGAGTAGAACTCCACGCACAGCTCATGGAAGATCTCCTCGTCCATGGTCAAGAGCTGGCACCACAAGGGATGGTAGAGCACCCTAGTCATGGTGGCTCGGCACCTGAACAAGTTAAACATGTCTAGGTCCAGCCGCCAGTGAGGCCCAATCGGGCTGCCACTCTGGTAGGCGAACTTGTCGCCAAACTCTGGAAGGTTCACCATATAACTGATGAACTCATGCTCCAAGTTAAGCATCCTGCACAAACACAAATGCACCATACGTGGAAACATCCGTCATATAATGCTCATTGGGAGGAAAAGAAATCCCCCCCCCCCCCACTTGTTTTTCAACCGTGGATAAAACATTTAAGCTCAAACCACCGTGGTATGGTTGTGGGTAATTCACGGTTCAAGCACACAAAAAGTTGAACCACGACCCTTACCACGGTGGCTACCATCCACCAATCAAGAATAAACTCTTCTTGCATTCATAACATAGCACTTGGTGGGCAAATTCTAAAAATAAACACAATTTGGTTAAACACGCCCACCAAGGCTCACTAAGCTCATGCGAAAATAAATCCATCATTCAATCGACCTAATTCACCTAATTCCTCGACCTAAATCTAGATTCAATCATGCCAAACACAAAAATTCAACCTCACTTCGCTACCTAATCCGATTCTCAACAATTCACAAAGGTAAAGTCGAAAAACAAACCTAGAGACTCAAGTAGGACGAAGGAGGAAGTGAGTTGCGGGCGAGAACGGTGAAAAACGGTCAGAAAATTGACCGGAGAGAGGTCGCCAAAGGTTCATCTGAAGCTCGCCGGAGACTCGCCGCCGGTCACTTGGCCAGAAAAAAGTGCTCAAAATCTCCCCAAAATCATAGCACAGGCCGGTTTTGAGGAGAGGAGACTGGGTATGACGTTGGTTTTGGGTTTTTCTCGCCGAAAATGTGGGAAAGATCGAATAACTGCCGGATTTTCATGTTTTTCGGAAAAGATTTGACATTTTCCGGCGAGATTTTGGCCGTGAAGTGAAAAGTTACCATTCACACCCCTTTTATAGGCAGGGCTAAGAGTTCACGGACACGTTGCCCAGTTCACGGTCGTAGAGACAGTGAACTCTCAAACGCATCCGTGAACACGGAGTGGTTGACAGGTGGTGAATATGCATCAGTACCCAGTTCATGGACGCGTTCGCATGTTCACAGTCTTACAAGACCGTGAACTATAGTGAAAATAGGGCACCTCTACTAAAATTCTGACTCAACCTATTCCTCCGTGCCTCCTAATCGATCCCAACACAACCATAAACTGAAAAAACACAACACCCGACACGAGGACAGCACTTCACCACTCGAACTCTTCACAAGACACTATAACGAAAACTATGGAAAAGAAAACAAACCTCTGTTGGGTTGCCTCCCAACAAGCGCTTGTTTATCGTCATTAGCTTGACGGTTGGGGATCGATCACGACTTCAAACATGATGACATCGTGAGCGGATCCACCACACTCTCGGGGCGAGGCTTGTAGCCTCCCATCTTAGGACCCTTCTTAACTTCCTGCTCAACACCATCAAAGCCAACACAAGTAACGGTGGGGTTTGCCTTGAGAGGCTCTCCTCCACTCTCATTCACATCATTTGAAACTACTCCCTTCACTTCATCACTCCTAACCCTATGATCAATTTCAAGCTTGATTCTCTCCTTACCATCCCTCAAAATTAGGGTCCCCTCATTAACGTCTATCAATGCGTTGGCGGTTGCAAGAAAGGGACGACCGAGGATGAGGGGCATATTCGAGTCCTCACTTATGACGAGAATCACGAAATCGGTCGGATAGAAAAACTTGCCCACTCTCACCATCATGTCCTCCACTATACCTCTCGAGCTAATGACCGAACGGTCGGCTGATGTGATGCTAAGCCTAGAGATCTTAAGTTCACTATACTTCTAACTTTTTGAAGAGCTTGTAGGGCATCACATTAACACTAGCTCCTAGGTCCGCCAATGCATTGTCTATATGATGGTTGCCAATATCAAGAGGGATAGTGAAGCTACTTGGGTCGGGCCACTTTTTGGGCAAGCGCTCGAGGAGGTAAGCCGAACTCTCCTCACCAAGTGTCACGTTGGCGAGGCCTTCAAGCTTGGGCTTCTTGGTGAGGAATCCTTAAAGGTACTTGGCATATCTTGGCATTTGAGCCATGGCTTCAAGGAAGGGGATGTTGAGGTGGAGGTTGCGGAGCATTTCCATGAAACCTCCACACTCGTTCTCCAACCTCTCCTTGTACATCCTTGTGGGATAAGTAAGAGGTGGCACTTATCAATCCTCCGACAATGCCTTCCTTGCTGCCTTCCTCTCATTCCTCGAGGGCTTCTTCTCTCCCTTCTTCGGGTTGGTCTCTTCCTTGTTGGAATTTTTCTTCTCTATCACTTCTTCCGTGTCAACTTCCAGAACTACCTTCACACTTCTCACTTGAAGCGCATTCACCCCGGTATGGCCCTTGGGGTTCACCACGGTTTGGGAAGGTAAAGCTCCCTTGGGTCTCTCGGTGAGGATGCCGGCAAGGTTGCTGATTTGCACCTCCAAACTTTGGAGGCTCGCTCGATGGCTTCGAAGACCTGCCTCAACCGAGGTAAACTTGGTAGTCGCCACATCCATGAATTGTTCTATCCTCTTGAACTTTTGGCTACTCGTACTCACAAAGGTGTTCACTAGGTCTTCAAGCTTTGACAACTTGTCGGGTTGATGTTGTTGTTGAAACCCTAGGGCACCTTTTGATTGGTACGGTTGTAGGAAGTTTGAGCCTTGGAGTTGGGGTCTTTTTTGGATGAAGGTGGGCCAAGGTTGGAAGTTCCCCGTGGGGCCTAGGAAACTCGGGGGCCTCAAATTAGTCGGTGATGACCAAGCAAAGTTGGGGTGGTTCCTCCATCCGGGGTTATAAGTATTGCTATACGGGTTGTTGACCCTAGCATTTGCCATGAAGTTGACTTGTTCCTCTGGAGTAGTTGCCTCCTTCATTGCTTGGCACTCCGCCATCTCGTGGCTAGTGCTCGAACACCAGCCGCACGACATTACTGCCCGTTTTCCTTTACTTTTATCTTCAAGCATAACCTCAAGCAACTTATAAAACTTCGCCTCAAGCGGAGCACTCGCTCCCACGCTTCTAACTCCCCTATCATTGCTCCTTCTTCCACTTCTAGTCAACCCCCAATCATACCCCCTAAGGGCCATATCTTCAAGTATCTCGGTTATTTGGGCGGAGCCATATTCATCAACTTCCCTTGACACAAGGAGTCAATGAGGATCTTATCTTCTTGCATTAGGCCTCCGTGGTAGGTTTCAATCCGAAACTTTTCTTCAAACCCATGATGAGGGCAATGAAGAAAGTAATCGGAGTACCTCTCCGAAGCATCCCTCAAGGTTTTGTCCTCTTCTTGCTCGAAATGTGTAATCTTCTTTCTCCACTCCGTCGTCTTCGAAGGCGGGCAATAACGAGCCATAAACTTGTTGAGGAGGTCATCCCATAAGGTGATTGACCAAGGTGGGCAGTTGTTTAGCCATCTAAGTGCTTTCCCCGAGAGTGAGTATGGGAAAAGCCTTAGTTGCAAAGCTTCGACCGACACACCGTTGATTTTCAAGCTCCCCGCGAGCTCCAAGAATCTCTGCACGTGCTTTCTTGGTGACTTACTCTCAAGGCCATGGAATAGAGCATTGCTTTGTATCATATTCACTAGAGCTGGCTTGATCTCGAAGTTATTTGCCGCCACCGGAGGATGTAGGATCGGCGATTGAATGTCCGCCGGCCTTGGGGCCATATAGTTAACCCATCGTCCTTGGGGCTTCCTCTTCCCCCGCTGCATCATTCAACTGGCGGGCTTGAGCAGCATCTTACCATTAGTTCCCCGCAATTACCACTATAGTGACGGGTTCACCTTCTACTTCTTCAACTTCTTCTCCACTAACACCGGAACCTAATTGTTGTCCCCATCTTTCATTCCTTCTCCTTGCCTCCGCTAGCTCCTCTCCCTTGCTAGGAGTGGGAGAGTCCGGTTTATGTCATCGCCAAGTGGTAGCAAAGGTGTCGGGTTGCTCCGGGTCATGCACCACCTATACACAATCGGAAAACACCAAGTCTAGCACAAACAAAGAACATACACTTGCAAAGATGAAAATTAAAAGCTAGATTAACAACCAAAAACTTTTTCAATATAACAGACCGTTGTTCCCCGGCAACGGCGCCAAAAACTTGACTCGCATGAAACTACACCACATTAAAACACCAATTAGAGCACAAGTTCTTAAACTCTAGTCGGGTGCAGTATAGGGCAAGTATTTAGATATCGACCCGGGCCGGTCCGTCTACCCTACTTCGGTTGTTGAAATCATTATCTAGCAACAAAGTTTTGATTTAAAGGTTTGCTATTTGAAATAAAAGAAGGCAAAGGTAAATGGTTTTGGAAACTCTTTTGTGGAAGCATCGCTCAGGTGTTGCTTCCCCCTAACTGCTACCATGCTACGTGCATTGGAACGATTGCTTTGGACACGGTAATCGTGAACCGCAGAGGGATGCATATATTGTAACATCTCGTTCTAGCGAAACCCATATTTTGATCGCAAAAAATTTCACGATTTAAAATTGAGCGTTTTGATAGACCGAAATATCGATCGACCGGATAAAAAAACATATTAATTATATATAATACATAATATATTATATATAATTACATAAAAAAATAAACAAAAGCAAGCGGTGGGGGACCGCACATATATTCCCCCTGTCCATTTCTTTTCCCCATCCACCATTTCCATTTCTCATTTTCCCGGACCGAGAGTTCAGAGCGAGCGGAGCAGTTCAGGGGAGGGACGAGGGAAATTTTCAGAGCTCAATTCTTGAGCCTAGTGATCCAAAAATCCCGTAAGTAATGCCTAATCCATCCATATATTATAGTTTATCGATTTAGAGCTTTAAAATGAGTTTTTGGTTCAGGAATTTCTTGAATTCTCTATAAGCCAAATTAGGATTTCGGAGTATCCGGAAGCCGGATTGAGCCCAAATTTCATATACGAGCTTCCTGCAGTGAGGTAATTAATCCTCTAGTTCTAATCCCTGAATTTCGGCTATTATTTAGGTCGGAGTCGAGATCGCTGAATTCAGCTCCGACCATGGTTTGATGTGTTTTTATCGAGAATTTGATCTAGAGCTTAGTACTAACATTGACAGGGATACTGCAGGGGATATTAGGACAATCTCATATTTTGATTCCAAATTTGTTTGAGAAAAGTGAAGTTTAGTTCGGGAGGCTAAAACCAGTGTTTGAACGACCAAAACTGGTGAGAGATTAGCACGGCATACCGGGTTTGTCGTATCACGATAATTATATTGATGCTTAGAATTGACCTAGGTGAACTAGCATGACATGATTAGGGGGTGTATGGACTTTTATGCTATATAATGAGCTGTGACTGTGATATGATATTATTGCCTTGGCTTAATGGATATGGATCGTGATAATGTTAATGATTGCATATATGTTGCAATTTGTGAGCTTGACTATTGATATTTCTTATGATGGTTCGAGAAGGCGATCGAGTATGACTTTTCATGATTGTTGTATTTGTATGCACAAGTGGGAAAATATATTCCCTAGGGTGATATTATGATGAGTTAAGGAGGATGACTTGCACGAGGGTTTATCCCGAGGAAATGCAGCTATACGACTCCTGGTTTACCTATGTTGAGCCAATTATGGTCAGGTCAAGTACATGTGCAAGTAACGAATTATGATAAGCAAGATGAGATATAAATCATGTATAAGGATACCAAATATGAGTATTTTGGTCTCACGGTCAATTACATAGTAATTAGGGCTCCCCATGCTATTACTTTGTTATGACATGATAGTCACACCTCTCTTGTGGTACTGACTGAAGATTATGATATGCATGATAGTCACACCTCTCATGTGGCGGTGACTGAAGATTATTCACGAGATATGACCACACCTAGAGTAGTGTCGGGTATGGTTTCACCTATGGTGGTATGGGGGTATGTATGTATGATCACACCCTACGGGATGCTGGATGTGTATGGTGGCACAGGAGAGTTATTAGCATGGGAGTAGCCAGGCGTCTATAAGTAAAACATGATAATATGCATATGCATAAGTCAAGGTGGTGAGTCTTTTGCCAATTGGGATATGAGGATGGCTGAGGTCTGATCCTAGTGTTTTGGCTAGATTGCTAGATGTATGGTAGGGGTATGCTTTGTTATGAACTCACGATGCAATGATTGTCTCACTCAGCCATGAGCTGACCCTCTTATCCTTTTTCTTTGCTTATGCCATGTGTAAGCAGATCATCATCAGCAGCAGTAGATAGGTGTACAGGTGGGAGCTGAGCAAGAGTTGAAGGCAAGATGAGGTATGGTTTTCAACTATTCTGTGCTTGGACTACTACTCAGGATTTTGACCAGTGATCCACACCCTTTTGTAAAAAAAAAAATTGAGAACATTTTCATGTGCATACTAGCTTCTGATGTAATATTAGCTATCCACAGGTGTGGAAAGTTGATATGTGTATAGTTTTGTAATTGTGTAAGTTGTGATGATTATGACATGTATTAGTATGGTATACAGTTGTGGTCGTGGAGTATGAAAACTGTAACTATGGCTATGAAAATCCAATGCATATGGTTGTGAGTAGGGGTGTACATGGGTCGGGTGGTTCGGGTTTAACCATTTTAATCACCCGACCCATGCACTACGGTTTGGAAATTATCAAACCCAAACCCACCCAAAAAAATTAAAACCCTACGGTTTGTTTCTAATTGGGTTGGGTCGGGTTGGCGATATTTTTAAGTAAAAACCCAACCCAACATAAAAATATATAATTATTATACACCATAAAAATATTTTATAACTAATTAAAATTTCAAACGAATAAACCGAGGTGAAAGCTATCAAAATTCAAAAATGTTGTTTGAATTTT